CAGCATTGTAAAACAAAATCAGATCAGATTAGATGAGATTATATATACTTTATTTATCCCAAATTGGCGAAATTGTTTTGTCACAGTAGCAGAAAGTTAACAGGTATTACACATGAGTCAAAACAAATTAATATAATAAAAAAAATACAAATAGAAAAAATGAAAGATAAACATAAACAGTAAATATATACACATCAACAGTATAAATTATATATATCGATAGAGAATATCTAAATAATACACAATATAAAAATACTGAATACATGTGTATACTCTATAATAGACAAAACTACTACAAAACTGAAAAATATAGATATATCATACTGTAAACATTACGCAAGTTCTTTTTACAAAAATTGAAAATATCCAATAAGGGAGCATGAGCACAATATGTATAATATGTGAAAATGTCCAAGCTCGTTAAAAGGGATAAACAGTTGTATCTCATTATCCTACAACAGTTATCAAAACATACCAAACTCTTTTGGTGGAGTTTGGAGTTCTTCATTTGTCGCCTGAGGAAAGAAACTGCTCTGTAGTGTGAGGGCAAGACAGTGAATACTTCTGCAAGTCTTGCCAGACAGCAGTAAGATGTACCGGTGTGACTGGGTGGTATTTGGGCTCTTTGCAGGCACCACTTCTCCCCAATATCATTGACGCTCAGTAGATGGGTACCAATCATGTTCTGTACACTTGTTCTCGGCTGTGCACAAACCATCCAAGTTTGTAATATTTTCTGTCAGTTCGCCTTCTACAGCTCCTCGGTCAAAGTTAACTTTGTTTAGGTTTTGCTCAAAAACACAGCTGTTTTTCACCAGGATGCAGAGGTGTGTTATTACTATGTCAGGTTGTCTGTGAAGGACATTTGAAAGTCTCATAGCTGCTTCAAATCTGGTACATGATTGTGGTGTAATACAAAACCTTAACAACAGCAAATGTTCCATGTCTGCAGTCATGGATGTTCAACATGAACAGGAGTGGGCCGAGAACACAGCCGTTTTCAATACTTGAGTAAAGAAAATGTGACCACCAATCTGAACTGCCTGATGTCTGTTTGGGAGGAGGTCCAAAATCCAGATAAGTTTGCTATACTCAAGGCCAGAGTGCTATTTTTGCCAATAAGTATCATGGGGGATATGAAATTGAATGCTGAGCTGAAATCAACGGTAACACTTTATTTTGATAGTCCATAGTTAACACTCTATAAGTCATCAGTTGACATTCAACAACAATGTTTCAACAGACAAGTAACATGCATTGAACTAACTGCCAGTAGAATATAAGGTACATATCAAGTGTTGATCTATAGATTTTACAAAAAGTGTCTGTTGACTGTCAACATGTTCTTTGCAACAGGTTATTAACCGATATTCAACCTTACTATCTGTAGATTGTGTCAACATCTTCAAAATTGACAATCAACTACTCAAAATCAATCTGTCAGTTGAAAGTCAACAGGGTCATGTCGACTATCTGTTTATAATCTGTTGAGTCAAGATGTCAACTAAAGATTACATTAAGCATTAGTTGATGATCAACAGATAAGCAACTTTAGAGTTTAGTTGACTATCTGTTGATCGTCAACTAATCTAGAGTTGACTATCAGTATACTTTTAGTAGTTATTCTCCGCTAAGCGTTTGTAGGCATGTGTTAGGACTATCCAATTAAAGTGAAACACAGTTGAGAACAGTAGAAAGTCTAACCTATCAACAGAACACATTCATCCACTAATTATATGCAACAGACATGGGAATAAAGCCAAATGTTTTCCACAACTGATCACGAACACTGGATAACTGAAGTCAATACCAGGCTATAAAGCACAGTAAAACAAACACTATACACAGCATATCAGAGAAAGAAAGCTTTTTATTTCAAGAATATGTTAATACATTTAATTCAAATGTTATTATTTCAAGTTTGTTTAAAAGCACAATACATTAACATAAATGGAGATACATGGTTATTACTTGATGGTTATTCCAACTGCATCTGGCTCGTTGGCAACGTATAACTTCATGCCGTGCATCACGAGCCTGTTGCACTTAGACCTCTGCTGTTCCCCAAATGAAACAAATCAGGACACACCATGTGTTTTCCTCAACAACAAAAATCACATCCGTCTTGAAATCATAACGAGACAACAAACATCCTCATAATGGGAGCAGTTGTTATTTTCAAGATGTTTGAGGCTGAGGGTAGGGCAGTGAAGAAGGCATCCTCTGTGGGTGTGAATTGAGACCAACTGAAGGGCGTCCTTTCACAGAATTTTGGACAGATTTTGGAGCCATTTTGAAGGTTGTGGTGAAACGGGCTATGTTGTACAAACTAATCATGCTGTTTGGTCACTCCCTATATTACCCCTCTTCTGCTGAAATCCAGTTGAGTTCCGTGCTGGGGCTAGTTTGGTTCGCAGTTGGTTCAACTTGCATACAACTTAGGAACCAGTTAGTTGTTCAACCAACTAGAGCCAGAGAGGTGATTATCCCTCACAATAACCACAATGACAGACCACGCTAGAGCTGTGCTAATGTTGCTTTTGAAGGCTGCCTGGATGAATTGCAAGCACCTCTTCTCCAACTGAATCTCTTCTCCAGAGTGACATGGCTAAGAGTATGCTGCTATTTTTCAGCATTTTCTAACCGGTGTAGTGATTTACAGCTTTCGCTCCACTGGCGTATAGCCTACCGTCTGCTAACTACAGCTGACTGTCTCACCACGTCCCCTGCTGCATATTTCCTCAGAAATGTATTTTTTTCCGCTTTTAAGTATCAATGTTTGGTACAGTAAATACAGGATTGTATAATGTTACATTTATTTTGTTATATAGAGGATATTAGCATAGCCACCAAAGCACTCTTGATCACGTAAATCGAGCCCCAGCCCCTGACTTATGCGGCTTTTCGTTCTTTGTGCTGGCCGAGCTGATAGTTGGTGCTGGAGTTGAATCGTTTTTTTTGTGTTGCCGCGTTTGAAACACACAAAAACTGTTTCGCAATCTGGCACCGGCTCCCAACTGGCCCATGAACCACCTCATTGGAAAAGGGCCTACCCACCAGCTCCCCAGCCCATGCCCTATCTGGCACACATTGTCTCCACCAAAAACGTGCTTCTCTTTCTCTATCCTTTTGGCAGTTCTGTTGCATTTGTTGATAGCGAGACCTTTGGAGGTTGGAAAGGCTGCTTGGACCCTCCGCCCCCTCACCTCCCACGCCCCCCGCTCTCTGCTCTTCCCTGTCACTTGCTTGGCTACATACTAACTCGCTGCAGGAGGATAATTAGTCAAAGTGATTTGCTGCATCCCCCCATTCCCCCACTCTCTTTTGCCTGCATCTGCTTAGCACAGCTTGGCATGGAAGTCATGGAAATGTCAACACTTGGGCCGTTTGTTTCTCTCCTTTTAGACATGACAGTATACACACACTAGGTGAAATAGACACAACCTATTTGTAGTTTGTATCTGCCCACTTTGGAGTGAACCAATGAATCAAATATAAGGGAGGAAAATATATGTGCTTCACATGATGTCAGATCATGCCTCAATGAATTTGACTGTCATTTTAATTGGTGTAGGAACATTTAAAGTCTTGAGCACATTTTTGTCCCGGAAATATCATTAACAGTCTTTTGTTGTAAAAAAATATAAAGACGCGATAAGGAATTTCCAAAATAAAAGACGATTATTGAGTTGCCGCCAGTAACAGTTAGGATTTAAGGTGGATATCCTGTTTTCATGGATGCTTTAAATGCAGGCGCACTTTACCCTACGGGATAGAGTAAATACATGTAATTAGAAAACAAATGAATATAAACAAAGAGTTTTTCTGTGAATAAATGATTGTTTACACATCATGCATGGCTGCTCTTGCTTAAAATGAATAAAAGTCCAGCCCGAAACATTGAAATAAGTTTCATGCCTCATTAAATGCCAGCTGTGAGCTCCAGAGTCATCAGATTTATCATTGTGCTTTGTCAGAGAATGCAGGTTTGTTTGGAGACAAAAGGACATCAGTGAGGATGTTGAGCAGCTTGGAGTATATTTAGGCAAAATGCAAAATGAATAATTTATTTGGGGCATCGGGGTTAAGGAGCCGAAGATGACCGCAACAACTCTGCCGTTGAGATTTGTTGGAATGCCATTATTTCCTGTTATCTCTCGACTTTTAAATAACACACAAAGGCATGCCCTTAACAAAAATAAGATTTGCTAAACCAGAATTTCTGCTATGACACTTTCCTTTAGATTTTTGAAAATGTAATTTGTTAGCACCACAAATGGAACTCCATTCACCTCAATCACATTGAAATGGATGTTTGACAAATCAAATCAAAACTAATTGCATGGCTAGAAACAACAAGTCGGAAAAGCTATGTTATGTTTTTATATGTTTTGGTCCGTTGGAACCAACCCTTTAATATTTATTTAATACGTTAATCTATTAAAAATAATTCAAACTCAAATTCTGATGGAACGCAATCTTCACAAAAGTCACACAACAACCATTGGAACAAATAAGGGGGTTTTAACAGTTAATTTTATTCCGAAATGTTTCTCACATTCTTCGCCCGTAGTAAAATCGAGCAGAGCAGTGATTTACTGACTTGTGAACAGTGGTTGGATTGAGAACACCCACCATGCTTGGGATCCTCTCCTATTATCCCACGCCATTCACAGGATTATTACAGCAATGTTCATTTGTGGAGGGCAGGATTACTAACGCCTTGCATCTTCCTTTATGGTTCTTTTCATAGCTAGGTGGTCATTGTGTGTCTGTGTGTGTAGCAGTGATCTCTATAAGGTGTCTGCAGTAGTCTTGTGGGAAAGCAGGCACTATTACTTGTATTCCAAAATGTCCTGAGGCATTGTGTACCCTTTTTTATTTCGAGTTCTTTATCTGTGGATTCAGTCGAAAAGGCTTGGGTTGTACACAATTATACATTTGATTGGCTGTCGAGTTGGTATGTGAATACTTACTGGTGTCTGGTTGTCTTGCTACAGCTCTACAGCTCGGTGGAGTTTGGAAGGAGATGGCAGGTGGTTCACGAGAGAGTGGCTCCCAATCGCTTCTACTGGTAAGTACAGACGTATGGACTTTCACTAGCAATGTTATTTAAAGATTTAATGAAGGAGGTCCAATGAATGGATGTTGGGTGGGGGGTTAAAGGCGTATTTCGGCTGGTAGAATAAGACATTCAGAAATGTTGCAGAAGTTGAATGGGAAAGCATTAGAGGAGATGAGTACAGAGGGTGAAGGGATGAAGGGCGTGAGGGATGAAGGGAAATAGGGTTGAAGGGATAAGGTGAGTTAGGGTTGAACTGATGTAGGGATGAATGGATGATGGGGTTGATGAGGTTGGTGAAGTTATGTGGGTGAGGATGAAGGGATGAGGGAACACAGGGGTTGATGGGTGGAGTGGTCAAGGGGTTTGCATGATACCTGGTACCTGTCTTTGTGAATAAGTTTGTAAATGGTACCCCTGTCATTATGTTGTATGTGTCCTTTTTGTTTTCTGTTACCTGTGTAATCAATGTGCTGCAGGTCTCCCTTGTAAAAGAGATCGTCGATCTCAATGGGATTTTTTACCTGGATAAATAAAGGCTACAAACAAACAAACACATGATGATGAAGGGCTGAAGGAAGTGTGGGATGAAGGGTTTTCGGGATAAAGGGGTCGATGGGCATGGGGTTAACGATGTAGTTGAGGATGAATGAATGAAGGGAGTAAGTGATGGAGGTATGCAGGGAGGAGGGGAGTAAGGTATTAAGGATGAGGGGATGTAGGGATGAATGGATGAAGGGGTCAATGGGTGTAGGGGTGAAGGGATGTGGGTGAGGGAGAAGGGATGTACTGTAGGAATCGATGGGTGAAGGGATGAAGGGATTTGGCTATGGTTGAGGTAGGACACAAAAGAAACATAGTTGCCAATATAATGATAAATGGTTAGCATCGTAAGCTATTGTAACAATAATGGTAATGTTTGCGTATACACACTGACACTAGCTTAAGACAACAGCCACATTTTTCATTCTAACCACCTCACAGCTAATACTGTTTATTTAGCTAGCAGGCAAAATGTGAAGGCGACATTAGTCATGTGTCATATTGTTTAAGTCAAATCTTGTTTTGACTAAAGTTCTTCTAGGATGTTAATGAACATGAATAAAGACAATTACTCTGGCACTTTTGCAACACTTTTTATAAATCAGCTTTTATTTGATTAATTATAATTTGAAGGTTAAGACATTTTTACATATGCGCACAGGATTGGCCCATTGTTAGGAAAGCATAGGAAAACTACTTCCTGATAACACAAAACTAAAAGACTGTACAACACTTTATGGAATCTTGAACATACTGTAAATATGTTCTTAACACACTCACAATAATTGCGTGACAACAACTCTTATGTTAAACTAATCAAATGAAGAGCACTTTTGACATTGTGAATGTCCTGGACAGACTACATCTTCTCCACAAAGGGAGGAGCATCTGAGCCAGAGTGGTTTTTAAGATTTGTATTATTCATGTGTCTGACATGCTTGATCTTGCTCTTTGGCAGACAGTTACATGATATGACCGACAGTGTTCAGCTGTGGTGAGAGGCTTCAATCTGAGTCTTGCTATCCTTTGAGACGAAACAAAGTATACAGAGATTCAAACCATCCAGTGGTTCCTCTCAGCAAGGCCTTATTTCGATGTCTATCTTGAATTGTTCCATAGTTATTGTTTAATCACTTCAGATTAAAGGTCACCTATAATGCAAAATCCACTTTTGCATGTCTTCTATACATAAACATGTGTCCCCTCTGTGTTAAGAGATTCTGAAAGTTTCAGGAAAAAATATTCGCTCACTTTTTGTCCTGATCCATTTCTATAAAAACCTGTCTGAAAATGAGCTGATCAGATTCAATCAATGTTTATTTATATAGCCCAATATCACAAATGTTATTTGTCTCAGTGGACTTCACAGTTTGTACAGAATATCAGTATGACAATACAGGAAGATTTTGGCCACTTTATGATGTCATACCGATGTTTTGGATTGTGTAACCATTAGCCAATCACCAACCAAAGTAATCCCCCCATCACCTGAATCTCCTCCTAGAGCACCATTGTGTTCTTTGTAACCAAACATATTTCATCTAAAGCAGGGGTGTCAAACTCAATTTCATCGCGGGCCACATTAGCATTATGGTTGCACTCAAAGGGCCGTTTGTAACTTTAAGACTATATAAATATACAACATATATAAAATAATGTATTATATGACATTATTGCCTCTGCATTGGATTATTATCGGATAGGGTAATAACTTCATACTTAACTACGTCTGATGGCAAATTTCTAGGGCAAATCATTGCAAGTCTCTTCAGTGCGCATGTCACAAAATGAGATGCATTGTGGGACATGTAGTTTATTGGCAACGTGCTTCTGTAAAGCGGCATGTAACCGTATAATAAATGTATTATATTCTTTGCAAACTCTTGCAGGGCCACATAAAATGAAGTCGCGGGCCAGATTTGTCCCCCGGGCCTTGAGTTTGACACCCCTGATCTAAAGTAACAGACAGAGAATCAATACTTTTGAAAAAGGGCTGAAACAGAGGGGATTATGGGATGCTACAATTGATGATCTGTTTGGTATTTCGAGCCAAACACTTGTGTTGTATATATCTGAGACCTATAATATATTGATGAAAAACATTATAATAGGGGACCTTTAAGTCTTACAAAACGTTGATCTACTATTAGGGTTCCATGCTTTAGAGTCTTTCCCTCAGCTAAATGGTCTCAGGCCACAGGTAGTATCCTGCTCACAGGAATCTACCATGTCTGGCCTCTATACAATAACTAACTGTAACAAAGGATTTTGCCTCAACAAACTGTCAGGGTGGTAACAAGCTGAGCAGCCAGGAGTGAAGGGAGCCTGGAGGGCTGATGCTGCAGAAGCTGTCAGAGTTCTATTTTGGGACACGACTGTGTGGCAGGTGCGGTGCTAGCCCTGGTAATGAGGCTGCAGAGCGAGCTTATGTCTGCCGTAAATGAGGCCACCCAACATGCAAAGAAGACGAAGAGTCGTAAGCTCATTTTTGATTTGGTCAACCTGAGCAGTTATTGGTCACGCAGCACAGGTCAGCTTAACTAACCTTCACTCATTGAGCTATAAGCTAGTTAACCCGTGGAATGTCTCACATATGACACAACACATCTCTACAAAACATCTGGAGCTGCCTGAATGTCATATTCTCAGAAGGGTATTGTTCCACCTGTTGTGACATCTTTTCTCCTCAAAAACCAAACAGCTGTCCAAATGAATGTCTTACACACACAGAGAGACACTACTGTGAGCTGTCAACCCTACAAGCTAAGTGAGCTTCCCTTCACTTAGCGGTAAAACCCCACAAACCATATAGCTGCTTTTACTCAAAGGGTTATTATGTTCCTGCCGCACACTGTTCTTGGAACCTGAATGGATTATTCAGTGGGAATGCAAATGCGGTTTGGATAAGTAGACCATCCTGTTCAAAGTTGTGTTTCATCTTGGAAATCTCTAATACTACCAGTAAGTATAATGATTAGGAGCCATAGTGGTCTCTCACTGTGCCTGCTCCTCATTCACCTCACACAGGCAACCTTCATTCCTTTTTCTCTTTATGCGTGTGCTACCTGCTCCCTCACCCAGCTCTCCCTCCATGTGTGTGCTGCCTTTGCCTTTCCTCTCATCCCCCAGTCTTTTTAATACATATTTAATGCCGTAATGATTATATGCTATTCCATCTGTGGACATCCGTACGGTAGAGGGAAAATCAATGGCTTCTCCTCTACTAATGATGTCAGGAAACGTCTTCTTCCATTCGTCTAAGGGGGGAAAAAATACCTTCTGGGAGTTATAAACATTTAGATCACACAGTAAACCCCCAGGTCATTTTTGCTCACACTTTAAAGTGCCATCAACAATGAAGAAAAGGCAATACCTAACTGATGTTTACCACAACTGCCATAGCACTTGTCTTAACCGCTCTTTAGTTACATTTGTATGACTTTGCAGAGTGCAATCCATCAGGTCAGGTTGCTGCTACAGTCCGCCTGAAGGGAAAATACCGGTGGTGATGTTTCTGAAACACATCTGTCTGCCTTTCAGGTCGAAAATGGGTTTGGACAAAGAGCCGGGCTTAATTCACCTGGAAACCAGCATCTCTGAAGGACGTGAGTAATTGAATTCCGAGTTCAGAGCTCCATTTTCCCTGTGTCTTTGTACTGTATCCTGAGCAGTATGCTAAAGTAGAGGGGAATTGGGAGTGGTGTAGAGAACTCGGATAAAGAGTAGTGCAAGGGGACAGCAGAAATGGCCGAGTCCGGGGACAGACAATGACAATGGAGGAAAACATAATGCATATATTAGAATGCTTTTAAAAGCAACTGATTTAGCTCATACTACAAAATAACTATAATAATGGGATATTATGTCTTGATCATTAGTATTTGGTTAAGTGAGTCTAATTTAAGAATGCTTAGAAAAAATGTAGTTATTATTATTATAAATATATTCATTATACTTTTATTAAACTATATATTATTCTTATTACTATTATTATTGTATTAGTCGGAGTCAAAATAATGATTTGGATGCATTGTTATTTTCATTTTTGTAATTCTAATAATGTTTATACTATGATTATACCTATTATACATTATTATTATCATTATTATTATCATTATTATTATCATTATTATAATGTTGAGTGTCTGGAAAAAAATGGTTTGTTTGAATTATTTTTTATTATTGCAAGTATAATAATTTAGACACTGTACGTATACTTTAATATTATTATTATTATACATTTTTGGCAAATTAGGATTCAGTGTTGTCAAAGCTTGATCCATACCAGGATACCTCAGTCCCTACAACAAGTTAGACCCTTACATTTTAAAAGCTGTATCTTTTCACCCTAACTTTTGTACAGATAACTGTTGTTGGAGTTTCCCTTTAATGAATACATGCTGGATGTTTCTCCTTAGCTTTCAGAAAGTCCATTAAGCATCAGTGCCACTGTTCTGTCAGAACACTTACACAATAGAGAAATGCCAATCATGCAAACAGACGAAGCAAACACCAGTGGTGTCAGATATTACGGCCGCACACACAGCCACAGACCATCACTATTGATCATGTGCTTGCAAGCAAAGCAGACGTATATTTGTCAGAGGCTAATGTGCGGGGACAGGCTCTCACCCAGCACTGCGATTGAAGGCAAAGAAAGCAATTGGCCTCTCTGGTCATCTGTCTTCCCCCTCTGCTGCCCCCCCCCCCCTCACTGGGACCACTTTATTGACACGAGTAATGTAGGAGGCCAAAAGAAGCCGCTTGGCTCTGGGTGAAGGCTGCCTTTCTTCATTGGCTAATACCATCACTGATGCCATGGCTTGTGTGTGTGTGTGTGTGTGTGTGTGTGTGTGTGTGTGTGTGTGTGTGTGTGTGTGTGTGTGTGTGTGTGTGTGTGTGTGTGTGTGTGTGTGTGTGTGTGTGTGTGTGTGTGTGTGTGTGTGTGTGTGTGTGTGTGTGTGTGTGTGTGTGTGTGTGTGTGTGTGTGTGTGTGTGTGTGTGTGTGTGTGTGTGTGTGTGTGTGTGGGAGAGCAGAGGCGCTGTATGTCACCTGCAAGCTGCAAAACTGCACAGATGCCAACAAGGGCAAACCATTCCCGGGCTACATTGACCCCAATTCTCTGGTGGTGCAAGATGAGTATGTGTTTGTCCAGGTGAGTAATTGTCCAGTTTGCTCAGTGAACAACATTATAGCAATGTAAGAGGCAGAAAGTATTTTGTAGGACATTTTCAAAGGTCATTCTAGGAGAGATGCTATTAGTGCAGCTTTATGTGTTGCTGTGGTGTCTCCAAAATGTTTTCACTCAACGGCTTCATCACTTTAAGGTGTCAGCCGCGGGGAGGCCAATCTACTATGTGTCTGCTAAAAGAGATGTCTTCACACCAATGAAGCTACCCAAGTACACACTGCCCAAGGTAAACACACCGCCTGATTAGAATTCAATTGATCCCAATCCTATCAAAGGCCACCAATGATGCACAAAAGATGAGAAAGGAACATATTATGCTTATTTTCAGGTTCATATCTGTATTTTGCGCTTCTACTGTGATATGTTTAAATAATTTATGTTTAAAAAGTACTTTATTTTTCTCCTACTGCTTATGATGCATCATCAAGCCCCTCATTAGGGTCTTCAAGTTGTAAAATGCGCTAAAAGAGAAGTTCAGAGTTGTTTTCCCTTTACATGGATTTGACTGAGCCAAGTGAGAGGGAGCTTTGAGGCAGGGTTTAAGGAAAACTCAAGTGCACATGCTCTATTGGATACGGGTACATGTTGAATCTACAGTCACTCAATGCTGTGCTTAATTTGCTACTGAGCAACTTTAGGACTTAACAGGGCCATTCTCCTGCTGTATCCAGTTCTCTTTATACATTCATGTGCAGCACCTCTTTTCACCATCTGAATGACACGATAGCCTGGTCTGCTCTGATTGGTTAGCTGGCTGGCACTTATGTTAGTGGTCAACTGCTTAGAGATGTGCCGGAAATGTATCACGTACATCGTGTTGGAGCGCTAGCCAATAGAAGCGCAAGTGTTACTTATCGATGTCAATTTGTAACTGAAGTAAACAAGGGCCAATGGAGGCATCCAGGCAGGGGGTCGAGTGTGTGGGAGAGAATTTGGGTAATTTAGCCTTTGCAGGCCATTTATATGCACTAAAACCTATATAAAACACTACAGGAAAGGGAAAAGCACAAAAGGGCGTCTTTAAGATTGAGTTAATCCTGCAGTTTGCCGACTGTTTATGCAATCAATGGCAGATAATATGCTTCCAGCTCTGTTCACTGAAGTGTCAGTGAGGCGTCACTTCATCGCTGGCTCCGCCTGACACTCCCCCACTTTGTTATTTATGGACAAATCAAGGCTAAAAGTAACTCTCACAGTGATTCCAGAATTGTTATTCCGTGCGGCTCAGTGTAGGCAGGGCCCTGGCTTGTCACGTCCCCATTGACAATTAGACATGTTTTATTCAATCAAGCCCCAGGCGTCCCCCGGTTGCTGTCGGCTCACTGCGAGGTGTTTTTGGCACAGTCAGAGGTAGATGAAGCGCACAACCAAACAGCATGGCCTCAGCTGCATACTCTCTGCCCAATAAGCCTGACAAAGGTATAACCATTGTAGTATCCTCTTAGTTAAAACATGGGGAAATCAGAAGATGAGGCTATTCTGATTATTGACTATGATTAAACCCAGCATGGGGGCACAAACAGGAAACAATGTCAAAGCTTGGATATTTCACTTTGAGAAACAAAGATTGTGTTTTTGATTGTAATGGGCACATTCAAATCAACTTCACAGAGTTTATTTTTTCCGGTTAGCTGATTATATATCCTATTCATTTTGGAATACATAAAGCACCAAGGATTATATATAAAAGAAGGTGCCTTTCATTTAAAGTTACCCTATGTTCAATGTTGACAGTAAACTATAGAATTACGTTTGCCAGCATTACACATACTGCATTCTGCTCAGCTTCCTGATAAAACATTTTAAAGAGGCCCCATCATGCCTCTTGGGGTTGTTCCCTTTCCAGTGAGTTGTGATGTTCCGTGTGAAGTGTTTGTGCATGTAAATGGTCTGCAAAGGCTACAATCCCAGACTTCCCCCCAGAGGGAGTTTCTCTCCCGCACACTCCAATACACATCACTATGTAACACTCACGCTTCTATTGGCTAACATTTCAATACATTGTACATGATAGACTAAGGGGGGGGGGGAGACATCTCTAAGCGGTTGACCAATCACAACCGAGCCGTCCAGCTAACCAATCAGAGCAGACTGGGCTCTGGTTTCAGACAGAGGGTGAAAAGAGGTGCTGCAGCACAGGCAGTGTGAGAGAAATAAAGAGCTTTTTGAGCATCAAAGCATGGAGACACGTCACAGTAGAGGCACACCATTACAATATGAGGCTGAAATTGAGCATTGAGGGCCGCTTTAAGAGATTCAGTACATGTTTAAAATGAAATACATTTCAAGTTATAACAACCTTTTTTTTCTAATGATATACAAAATTATTTAAAAGAAAATTAGCTGTTGAAACAAAATATGGCTACACTTTATTTTCATTTAAACAACACAAACATTTCTTATAAACAGGAAACACATACTGTATCTTACATGACAGCAAACAATTAAAATGCCTAAAAGCCTGTACATAAAGCAAAACAGAATAAAGGGAATATGTATACACTGTGGTAACCTGTTACATTATGTATCATTTGAATACCCTACTGGTATTAACGTTGCCTCTCTTCCAGGACCTGCATGTGATCAGCACAGATGAGAACCGTGTGGTTGCGGCAGTACAGGAGTGGAACCAGAACGAAACCTACAACCTGTATGTGTCGGACACGTCGGGGGTGTACTACACCCTGGCTCTTGAGAACGTGGTCAGCAGCATGGGCTACGAGGGTAACGTCATGGTGGACCTCTATGAGGTAAGCAAACATGACTCTGTTTTAGTTTTTGATCAGTTAACCGCACATCCCCAACGTCCCAACGCAAACCTCTGGCTGTGTTCTTTCTGGCCAATTTACTCTTTTTATATAACACTATGAAATAAAGACATGCTTGATGGGTACTCAGCCTGAAAGTTTAATATGAACACTGATCAATATTTTATGGCTGGGAGGCAGAGATGATGAAATGTACTTGTGTTGTCACTTTGGAAACAACCCCTGCTGCTGTAGGCCTACAGTCTTCACAGTGCATTGTGTGAATACGAAGTAGCTTCAAAGTGCTGACACTAACAAAAGTATAAAGGGGGGATTGTGCCAGGGATATGGATTTGTGTAAGGCTGAGATTATTTCTTTCTTTGATGAATAACTGCTGATATTACTTCACAAAATGCACCTAATCCAAAATGGAAAAAAAGTGTGTTGGGGGTTGAAGCTTAGTTATTGGGATTTGAAAGACATAGCCGCACTAGCTGAAAGTATATCTCTCTATCTGAATCATATAATTAAGCTGTTGATGATGCTGCTCATGTCTTGCCGTGGCCTTGGCGTTCAAATCAAATCCACTGCCTTGATTGGGGTCGCCACCCAAAACGTAGGATATGCTAAATCTCTCCTCCAAGGGAGATTGAAGTATCTGTCAATTACTAAAGTGGAGTTTCATCGGCTCATGCGACTGTCGCTGACTCAATTCAGTAGCCCTGAGCTATTCCTAGGGCCCTCCAACAAGGAGTCAGATTCATTTAAGGCACGCATTGATTACTCAAAAGTCCCCAGACAGTCAATCATTTCCCACTCAGTGTTTGTTTTTGTTGGGAATACAGAATAGGTAAGCTGTTGCAGGGTTAGGATGGTTGATTTAAAAATGTATTCTGTTGCAATTACAAGTGACCTGCAAGAAAATATAACCTAATCTGAGTATCACAATATAAAAGTAATGTAACCTGATTACTTTCCGTTTCTTTTGGGCAGTAGTTTATACGCCAACAACGAAACACATGAGCACACACTAGAGTTTCAAAAAGCAGAAATACAATCCGAGCTGACATAAAATGCTCCGTGCTAATTGAATACACAGTTAAGCTCACACACACTATTTTATTAAAAAAAAACAGGTTCCCCTACTGTAATAAAAGAAGAACAAATGAAGCAAGAAAGTGACAACTATAATGCAAATTCAGGCAGTATGTAGGTAGTTACATGATCCCGTTTCTCCCCAAGCCTGCTTTTGGCTAATTGAGAATGAGCATCGTCAGTAAAATGACAGTGGGCCTTGGATAGGAAGCAGAGCATACAACAAGCAGTTGGCTTCCTGAACACTTCTCTCTCATGGCGGTCCTCTCCTAATTATGCTTAACTTATACCTTCAAACTATTAAAACATGATTAGGGTATATATAGAATTCAGCCCCTGTACAAATGTCGGGAATACAGAAATTAGCTTTAAAGACCATTCCATTTATTTTGGGCAAGGCTGTAAAGATGGTTATTTCTTATGTCAAGTTGGGCATTTTATCATGGTGGCTCTATGAAGATTGACTCTGTTTTGAAGCAGATCCTAGTGGTCATTCACTGAACTGCAGTTTGTGGAACTTCCGCCTAGGCTACAATGCTCAGCCGCGGAGGTTGCTAACAACACTAAAGATGTTATATTAATAAAAACGTATGTAGTATATGAATACACCTTTTGAGTAAGCAGAAAACAATCACACTCATGTGTTTGGAATTCACAGGAACAGCAGTTGATATAATAGGAATACTAATACAGTAACCTTTTGCAATCAAGCTTGGTCGAACCCAGTCTTTTGCCATGCAACCCTTGCTGTTCTGACACCTCCACGAGATGCAGCTTTATCTTCATATTAAGCATCTTGCTGCAAAAATACAACTGTTTCTTGCTGTGTATGCCTTTTCATGTAACTGTAGGGGAATACAGTTACCGTTTTGTGTGTCCTGATTACGTAATCTCGTAACACCCCAAGCCTGAGCATGTGTGGGTATTTTCTGCATTGTGACTCAAAGATACAGAAATGCTTAGTATCTTTTGGACATGTGAAGTCTGTTTTCAATCGGAGCTGTCTAATTCCCCAGGTAGCTGGAATAAAGGGGATGTTCCTCGCCAACAGAAAGATGGATAGCCAAGTGAAGACACACATCACTTACAACAGAGGCAGAGACTGGAGCCTCCTGCGAGCCCCGAGCAAAGACCTGAGGGGCAACAGCATCAACTGTGAGCTGGTAAGCATCTCCGTTCATACATGTTTTTGTGCGTGTGCGATTCCATCAAAGAGCAGCCCTGACAGGAGTTGACTGATCCCGCCAGCAACGAGGGGCCGAGCTCAGAAAGAGCAGCGCCCGTCAAAGCTGAGTGCTCTGAGGCTGTTATGCTGAAAGGTCAGCCATTTTGATTCAGTCCAATAAGCTGACCTCCCATTTAAGCTACAAAGACAAAGAGGTGTCAGACAGAAAAGCTTCTTACTTCTTGAAATAATCGGAAAGTTGGGCAAGTCTAGTCGTATTTTCACTCTAAAGCGAATTTACCGAAGTTAATCTTACTTTGTGTCTTGAGACTACAGATGGGTTAGGGTTAGTGGTTGGTGTCGGTGAAAAACTCCCCCTACAATAATGTTAAAGGGGCGGAAGAAGTACTCAGATCCAATACTTAAGTAAAAATAATACAGTCTAGAAATATTCCATTAAAAGTAAAAGATTGGGTTTCAAAATTATACTTAAAGGGATAGTGGAAATGGAACCTCAAATAGTTTCGTTTTAACTTATATACAAGCATAATTACGTACCAAAACAATCACACCTGATTAAAAAAATATAATAATTGCCTTACGCATGTTAGAAGCACTTTATTGCAGCTTCCCCAAAGTTTTTTAGAAACGAAATGTTTCTCAGCCTAACCGGAAGTGACGAAAACTCAGGAAGACGATACGATAACAAACCATGGCGTCTATGCAGAATGAACGTGGAAGGGCAAATATACCAGACAAAGAAGAAGGATTGTACGAGGTATCCAGTGATGATAGCGAGTCAGAAACATCCTCTCGGCTTTCCTACGAAAATGTCGTTTTAGGAACTGAATCTGAATCCGGTTCAGTAAGCGATGATGGTGAGAATATTGAGCCAGACGATGGACCATTACGTCCTTATTTGTTCGAGCCCGAGCCCGAGGTGATGGTTCACGGCATGGGCAATGGCGAGGATGACCAGGACCAGGCGCCAGATGATGCACCCCTACGCACAAATAATCTTGACTGGTAGGTCCCTAAGCATAGCTCACGCATCTTAAGATCACCTGTAGCCTTTACAAATATTAATCATTGTTAACCAGTTAAGGCCGAAGGTCCCCCCAGTGGACCCCTCCCACCGTTTTTTTTCTCTCACATGTCTCAGGGCTTCTTAACATTTATGAAACTATTAATGTTTCATACCCTTTTAAAGGTAAGAAACTCCGCTAACTGACAATAAGAACAATTGTTAGCTAGAAAAAACACAAGAGTAATACCAAGCCTTTGAATTAGCATTGAGCGAAACAATGCTAACTAATGCTAACGCTTTTTTACACACAACACATGGTAGAAATGCCCGTATCTTAACTGCACAAACAAGATATACGATTTAAAGCTGAGACTCCACAGATTCCACACATGTAATGTCATCACTGTAAGACCTCGAATTCCTGGAGCTATCAGCCAGAAAAGAGAAAGTAAACAACATCCTAGGCTAGCCAGGCTGCCTGTCAAGTGTAGGCTGTACTCACAGTACTGTTAGTCTATCATGTCTATATGATGACTGTAGTGTACACATTTGACACTGTGTACCGGATAAATGGCGTTGTACAAAATGGTACAGGCTAATGATGCATTAAATCAACAAGAAAACATAATAAAATACTCACTTCTTATGTATTCCACTTTCAATTTGAGCTAGAGACCGAGGAATCTCGAAACAATCGTCAGTAAAATGACGGGAGCACACGACTGCCGAATTACTCGTCAGCTTCGGCTCCGTGAAGTTTGCCCGTGTTATCTGAACAAATTTCACCCACTGACGACGAATGGCTGGGTTTCTTGGAAACGCATGCGTCGATACGCCATTCTCTGCATTTGCTGTCGCACTACAGCCATACAAAACACATCTATTCACCATAATAAAGGTCGGCTATTCACATGCACATGCTATTGAATGTCCGCCATTGTTTGTGCCCGTCTTCCTTTGCTCTCGTCATCACCCGAAGATTCCCGACGATTCCCGAAGTATTTCGTTTCATTGAGAGGGCGCAGTAAAATTGAAAATAAAATGAAACTAGGGGCATGAAATTTAAAAAAATTGTTTATTATGCTTATTTTTAATAAAAATACATAAGTTAAACCTAAAATTCGCGGATTTCCACTATCCCTTTAAGTGAAAGTACAGAAGAGCCCTAAAGCTGCATTCACATGATACATGATTTGCCCTTTGCTCAGAGCGAGGTTGGGCGCAGAGCTTTGTGGTGATGACGGCTAGTTAAGTTTAGTTACTTTGGTAACACCCATGTTACCTTCCCTTGCTACAATCAACTGTCATCTGATGGGTTGTGCATCAAGAGGTCAGCGCTACATGAGGTCAAAGTTGCGATCATTTCAACTTTAAAAAAGCGCAGGGCTCAACAAAAACTTTGAGTGATGCACAGCGCTAGGGGTTGCTCTTCAAGGTAGTCGTGATACACCACTCTCTACATAGAAACATAACAGTAACGCCAGCGCAGAACCATTTTGCCATGTATCGTGTCAGTGTAGCTTCAGCTCCTCTTCAGCAGGCTTTTTAAATATTCCTAAAGTCCCTCAAAATAAATGAAATGAACCAGATTTTAGCCACTAAACTCCCAAACACTGGAACACCCTACCAGGATATATAAGAGGCAAAAACGTATTATTATAATTATTTTCCTTTTTTGAACAGCTAAATGTACTTAAAGTATCAAAAGTAAAAGGTACTCATGAAGCAGAATGGCTCTATTCACATTATTTTAATAACATAATAATGTCAATAATATATTAGGTAGTTTTTTCACAACAAAAATTCGTAAAACAGCATTTTAATATTGTAGATGTCAATTTGGAGTCAATTGTATAAATCTATACTTCGCAAAAAGGTTTCAGAGATGTGCCTGGTGCTCTTCAGAGGAGGAGCTGGCGACAAGGATGTCGTCTAACCACTAAACCACTAAGTATTACATGTTGTGTGTGCCGCATCTATGAAAGCAGGCTAAATTAGCTAGCACGCTAACTAACTAAATTGCTAAACTGAAACACTGACGTTAGCTAACGTTCGTTTGATATCCACATTAAGCTGACAAACTAACAGGGATGTACAGAGCTAATAAAGTACAAAAATGTACTTACATGATTCAAAATCCACGAGTATTAATATTATCCGTGTTCTCTTCAACTGGAACCATCTGTTTTTTTTTCAAATGTCAGTAGGCTAATGTAGTGATTTGTCGGTTGCGAACGAGCCTGCTCGCGCCCGCGAACGATCCTTTTTTTTTGTCAAGTAATACAAGACAGAATTATATGATGATCTCCGTGCTACAGCTGCTCCGTGCATGCATGCAGTGACATGTAATATCCAAGGATTAGAGACTGTTGGATGCTGCTGTTTTGAGCATTGCAATATATTTATTTTCGCTATGTTATTTATTTATGATTATCTCTAGGCTCAGCAAAGATTTGATGTCAGCTGTTGCTGTCTTTTTTTCTTTAGTTAATACTGAAATAGAGCCCTGCTGTTTTGTTAGGGCTTTTTCTTTAAATGCAATTTTAAAATGTCGATACAGTAGCTGTCCTTTTTTAAATGTCTATGCTTAAGTTTTTATAGATGTTAGACAAGCAAGTCAGTGCATTCATTGGGTGGTATCAGAGAGTTACAAGGGTCTGTAAATGCAATGAAAACATTTGGCCACAGCAAATCATTTATGTAAAAAATGTAATTTTTACTTTTGAATACTTCAGTACAAAGGATGTATTGAATAATTTAAGTGATTCTCTGACTTCATCGGGGGCGTCGCCCACCTTTACTCACATTGCCCTGTACATTTGATCAGCTTTTCACAGGTTGTAGGTCAACACATTACTTTAGTTAACATTTACTTGGTGCTATGATTTAAATGTACTTATCAAAATGAAGATTCAAAATGTCAAGTAACACATTAAATAAAAGGAAAGATTTTGAGTAAAAGAAAATTATTAGTAATTTCTTGTATAATTTAAACACAAAATCATAGTATGACCGTTTTTATCAATGTATGAAAACAATTGCCCTTTTTTGATAAACCAATTAGTGATTGTGTGGAATGCCGAGCCCCTCCACACATATTGTACACTCATTTGTCAGGAAATGTCAGAGTTTTAATAAACCTCTAAACAGCCAGTCACAACATGGCCTGCACTTCTGGCCTTCTGCCGGGTCGTAATGAGAATTGTGTCGGTAAAGGTTAACCCAATCAAAATGAATGGTGAAAGAAGCCAATGGGGGAAATGGTGTTTGTGATAAAACTCGGGACTTGGGAGGGTTGTGCATCTACACAACAGCTGTTTTATTCACAGGCGTCTTTTGAAGAGTTTTGATAAGTCTGTGATTTTTTTTTGTCTGCAGCCCTACTGTTCATTACATCTCCATCTACACGTCTCCGCAAATCCCTACACATCTGGAAACATAGCCAGCAGGGACTCAGCGCCGGGGATCATAGTCGCGTCAGGTGGGTGAGAGAATCTCTTTGAGTGACATGTTGTTTCTCTTTTCTTTGTCTACTCAGAGTTCTGAGGGTTTTTTTCTCAATAAACAAAACCCCTGTTGCAACCCTTCCTGGGCTTTTTGCTTTGTTTATTACAAACTAATTAATAGATGCAATCTCCAGCAGGTGTTCACGGTAGTTTTTATACTTTGTGAAGCCATTTGCATTTTAGTATTAAAAAGAGCAAGCACTGCAAAAGGCAAGTCTCAGAGACTCTATAGCCAGCCAATAGAGATGTAAAATTGCATATTGTATAGTTTGAGTGAATTGAATCCAGCTCAGAACAACAAAGGACATACGGTATAGAACTTTTGTTTTTATTGGCAATGACATTCACAATCGAGTGTCTTTTCCCAGTCCATGGACGCAGTAGATAGTGTTACGCTAACTTGAAGAGACAAAGACCACGAAAATCACTTAGACTCACAAAGCCAAAAAGAAATGTGCCTCCTTCAGTTAGTCGAAAATGTTGGCACTGATGTCTCCAATATGTCACTGCTGCTTTCAACGCTATGCAATTACATTTGGCTGTTTGCATCTTTTTGCTCTTTACTTCTATTCTCACTTGTTTTTCCTTATTCAGCATCAGGACATGACTTCCAACAGCGTCTGACAACATGCATGCGTCACCTCACCTTTGAACAGGGGCAAATGACAGAACAAAGCACTACATAATCCTTGTTGGAGCCCTCAGGAACAATGATGATCTCATCGTTGTTTCTGAGGACACAGGGGAAAAAAGCAGTGACTCTTATTGACTCAGTGGAGAGAAAATTGAGGAATATAAGACCAACAGTTCTTAAGGTGAATTCACACCTCAGTGATATGTATTCCTACATCGACCGGCACTGTCAATAACACATCAGCATACGCCTCTGGTGTCTGGAGATGGTGTCTAGACCTTGGTGAAAAAGGTATTAGCGATGTTGGAAAAAAACAATTGTGTGATTTAGTGGGATCTCTAATATTATTGAATCTATAATTTAGGGGGGAACATTTGGTATTGTTTTATATTGAACTTGGAAAATATATATGCAAACCCTAAACATAGCCCCACTTCTTATTCCAACCATTAAGGATGGTAAGGAAAAATGTAATTATATTACATTATGGCTCTTATTCTGGTGGTTTTGGCTATTGTTTCCACCACTTATTTACCCAACAACTTCAAGTGAATTGTGGGGAAACAGCAACATTAGACATTGCCAGACCAGCAGCGTAAGGAGCACACACAAGCACACAGCTATAATTTCCTGCTAAACCAGTACCGAGTGCGTTAAAAGAGTCTAAGATAGATTCCAGTTATTTATTTTTCATTTGAACAATGTGATACACAGAATAAGCAGGTTCAAGCATTGGAAGTATGGGATGAACCATCGACTCAAGTTACTTTTATTAAGTTGGCATTAAAGCTGCTTTGAACAATGAAGGAAAACTAAAAGCTGTTTTTTTGGTTTCAAATGGTTTACTTGCATAGGGAAAGTAACAGAAAAGTTTGAAAAGAGGACAAACACAAAATAAAAAGTTATCCTTTTCCATTAACATTAGCACTTATGCTGTTACCCTAAGTTGTAGTTCAAATAACATGAACTATTATGTTGGACAACAGTTATAGCAGGAGATTGAGTACTGAAACTCAAGCAAAAGTAACCCTAACCCTAAGTTTGTCTTGATATGGACAAAACCTTAATACCAACCTGTACTGCACCTGTGGTGTGTTTCACATGTATACGCACCTCAGTTCTGCAGTAAGTTGTGAAGATCAGCCACTGGAGGCAAGAAAGATTGAGATTTTAAGCTGGAGTTTGGTCCTTCTCTAAATATATGGATTGTTAAGCAAACTGTTTCTCAGAGAGGGCTCCCACAAGGGGACGGCTGAAACACTTACATTACTTTCCTGCCTCGTGTTTAACCACCTGGCACCAATTACAGGCTAAATTACAACAATTACAGCAGCACTGCATTAGGACAGTTCGTCTTAGGTCAGAACTGCTGAAAGATGAAAACAGTAATCTGGATTCATTGGTTGATTTAGGGGTTTTGGACAAATGTCGTACTAAATAGTGAATCTCCTGGAGCTGTGTAATTACAGCCTCAGTCTGCAGCTGCAGGCTGGAGCCCCCTGCAGTATTACCACTGCTGTTTAAAAGGCTCTTTAAAAATGTTTTGGATTTTATTTGATCTCAAGTGGAATTAATTTCCTCTGTCTGTATTTTGCCTCATCTGCAGGAACCATCGGCGCAGAGCTCACCTCCACCAACGTTAGTGTGTACGTCACCTCAGATGCAGGAAACACATGGAGACAGGTGAGGGTGCTTTTTTTATTGGAATAATAATTGAAGTCCTATGACGCTACAGCTGTTTTGCATGTTATTTATAATTTATAATATGGTGAAAAAGTTATTTGAAATGTTTAAACTTCAAATCTGCTCTGACATTTCTGATGGACATGGTTTACTGACATTGGAGTGTCTTTGTTGTTAGGAGGGTCATGATCCTAGTAGTTGGTGTGTTTCCTGTTTTATTTTTAAGTTTGAAGTGTTCTCCCCCTGTGTCATGTCTGTCTTTTACTTCCTGTCTTTGTGTATTTTCCCACCTGTTTTGATTTTCTGTACTGGTCCTATTAGGGCCACCTCTTCAATTTTGTTTGATCCATTCATTTGTTCTTCTTGTATTGAATTTCTGGTTGTTGTTTAGTTGTTAGCAAATACTTGTATGATGTTCAACAGGAAGTTCTGTTCAGCTGTGTTTGCCCAGACTACTCAAATTATAATTATTTGTTGTTCCTTTCAGTGCATTAGGGTCTACCGAACTCTACAAAACAATACATATTTGTACATTTTAAGTGTATATTAATAAATATACTTTTAATTCAGTTAATTCATATTTATGTTTAGTGCCAATTGGATCCTGGTAAGACCAAGCCCCACGAAGTGTGCTGGACGTTGAATCAAATGTTTGCATTGGCCAAAGAGTGGTACTACAACTTAGTGTCAGTTCGAGACGTCATAGAGTGGTGCAGGGATGACGTATTTATCCGGAAGTAAACTCCACATGGCCACTTGTTAACAACCATCGTTTTTCAGACACGTAAACTCTTCAAAAATCACCAGTGGGGTCACTGCTGATGTATTTAATGTCGTAGAACCAAACGTGATCCGTCTCTTACATTTGTGTCAAACACAGACCTTATTTGGAGCTAATTTCCAAAGTCCTATGGAGAAATCCCATTGGCTCTGAGACGAGGGAACCGGTAGTGGTAAAATGCTAACTCACTTCCGGGTTTTAGGACCACTGCACCACTCTATTGGGCCCAAAAATACCTTTTCCACATTTACTCTTTTTAGACTAAATTAACTCCCCAGTACAAACACTTTTATAGCTCTTTTAAAACCATGAGGGTCTAAAAATAAAATGCAAGAAGAGCCGAATCCAGATTTATTTTCTATCTTAATTAATTTTCCTCAGCCGAGATCTGCTATAACACTTCAGATTGGAGGCGGGGGTTAAGCACATGGGTACGGCTACGGGTACTTTTTGGCTTCATGCGCTACTGAGCAGCTTTCATAGGAATTAACACCCTGTCTCCAACACTGTATCCAGATCTCTTTGTACATCCATGGTTAAAACACTTTGTACACTTTAACGATTATGTAAAATTAATAAATACATTTTCCAATAAATTAAAGCCAGACACCATATGGACGATCATGAGCTTACTGACCTATCCCCTCACTAAATATATCCTCCTCCTCACTTGCTCTCACTGATTTCATCATACAGCCATTTATTAAACATTGCGCACTAGCCAGACCTTTTTAAGGTCGATAATCAAAATGAAATGTTAAGAGTTATTTGATTCACTTCCAGCCTACAGTGCCTGTGGGTTGCCTTTACCTCACTTGATCCTGGCACTCTCAATGTATGGGCCTGGTTTTTAATCAAACACAGCATTGAAAAATAATAATTTGGAGGCTGATGCAGCAAGTTTGAAACAGTGATGTGTATTGTGTTCAGGGTTGGGAGGGTCACTTTGTAAATGTAATTAGTTCCTGAAATACTGAATACATGGCTCTGAAAGTAATCCAAATCCGAATACAGTTACGTGTCTTAAAAAAGCGTATTCAGATTACTTTTAGAATACTTTTGGAATACTTTATTTTTCCATAACAGATTAGGGTATGTGTTGGTGTATAGGAGAAACTTATTTTACTGTTTTAATAGCTTATCAACATCTTGGTGTCATTCTGGAATATAGTCCTTTAGTCCTGTCTTAAACCTTTCCTTAGAATATTTTATGAATTGTAAGGTGTTCTTGGGTGCTTTGAAAGGCGCCTCTAAATACAATGAATTATTATTAATTATTATTATTATCTGAAACGATGTAATAACCTTTAAAACTTGTTCCAGTCACTTGCCCCACGCATTCAGCAGCAGCAGGCCATTCACTTTGATTTGATCGTTATGAAATGTCATCATTTCAACAACAAAGAAATGCTACATAAACGTTATCTTGCACATTTTTTGTCAAACCATCTCCATTTCTAACTTTCAATATATTTGAAAAGAGATCAATTTTCAATTCAATTCAATTCAATTATTAGCATGACCATAGTTACATACTGTACAGTATTGCCAAAGCTTTGTATACAGTAGTTGTAACATCTATACAAAAATACACACAAACAAATAAACAGTTATAAACAAACTGCTAAGAACATGTTTTAGTTTTTTTTTACAAGGAATACAGATTCATATAATACATTAATACAAAATAGAATATGATATATATATATATATATATATATATATATATATATACATAAGATATATAAGATGTGAGACATGGTGTATGTGCTCATTCCAATTCCCTCAGACTGTGGCAGGCAGAGACAAACTGTCCTGCAACAATGCAGCTCTCTTTATATTCCCGAGAAGTATTTTTTGTTTTTCATTTTTAAATATTTGAGGATGCTTATGTTTGAGTTTTGGGAAGAATTGTTTCCGTATATGTTCAAAAGTTGGGCATTGTGTGAGGAAGTGCTGCTCTGTCTCCACAGCAGTTCCTCCACTATGGGCATAGATATGTCTCATAATTATTTGTGTGAACATACAAATAATTTGTGTGTAAATTAGGGCTGTCAGTCGATTAAAATAGTTAATCGTGATTAATCGCAAATTAATCGCACATTTTTTATCTGTTCTAAATGTACCTTAGAGGAATATTTTTCAAGTTTTTAATACTCTTATCAACATATGAGTGGACAAATATGATTTATGCTAATGTTTATTATCATTTGAACAATGACAAATAATCTCATGAATATTAAACACAACAACCTCTGAACATTACAAATATTCGCCTCAATTCAACCTGGAACCTCTCTCATACAATAATACAATACAAATGGTGTGTGTGTGTGTGTGTGTGTGTGTGTGTGTGTGTGTGGTGTGTGTGTGTGTGTGTGTGTTGTTGTGTGTGTGTGTGTTGTGTGTGTGTGTGTGTGTGTGGTGTGTGTGTGTGTGTGTGTGTGTGTGTGTGTGTGATGGATCGTTGGAGCTATGTGCAACTCAAGGCATATGCTCGAACGGGAGCTGCCTGGACGCTGCATTCATGTTGCGCGCACTATCCGTGCTGAGTGTGCTGACTTCTCGTACAATGTCCCACTGTCTGGCTTCCTGCATAAAGTCAAGTGCTCGGCGCAGTTGTGGCAAAATGTCGCTCCTCTGTTTTCATTTAAACAGCTCCATATCCGTTAGCGCAGCTAGCTAGCACCAGATGCTAACAACAACAATGCACGTAAGGTCTCTCTCTCGCTCGCTCGGGCCACACCTACACACACCCTCCCGGTCCTCCCAACAGCCAGTCGGTGCCTGCCGGTGAGCGTGGAAGTGTGGTCTGCCACAAGCGGGCGGCAGGAGCGGGGCTGTCAGCATCAGCTTGTAGATGGTATTTTAAACTCGATGCGCTCTGAAAACTACGGGGCGGCCCGAGGACAAAAAATACACATGCGTTAATCGCGTTAAAATAATTAGTGGCGTTAATTTTTTTTTGCGTTAACGCGTTATTAACGCGTTAACTTGACAGCCCTAAAATATGTGATTTGTAAATGTAAAACACCATCCACAAATGCATTTAAAAGATTTGCAAACTCACAAATAAATTTTGCAAGTGTAAAACGGATCTGCAAATACGCTAAATATTTTCACAAATAAAAAAAAGATCTGTGAATATCTCTTAACATTTACACCTTTCGATCAGGCATTTGTGAATCAATTTTGTATTTGTCGACCAAAAATGCGCTTGCGGATCTCAAATCTCTGCTCGTGGATCTCACATTTCTGCTTGTGGGTCGTCTTTTTACACACACGGAATGTTTGAGACGTATTTTCCGCCGGTCTCGGCTAAAATCTACTCGTGTCACTTGGTTATTTTCGGAAACCACGTGATTGGCCCCAACCCAGTCTCACGGCATTTCGTGTTCACCAACACGATTTGCCCCTTTTTTTTTCGTGTTGCACAGCACGATTTTAAAAGCAATGTATTTCTACTGCCTGCAGCACGTCTTTTTCTCCGGTCGGTCGAGGAAGACCGGAAGCTGTGTGGTTCATAAAAACATGTTCTTACTCAATATCAAGCCACAGTTATTGCTTTTATTTTGAAATCGTATAATTTCGGACTTTTTGTTGCCGTCTGTGAGGAAAATAAATGGGGCTCAGAGCCTCAGAATACGGAAATCTGTATTTTTTAAATCTTTTTTTCCTTCTAATTTGTTATTCTTTTCAAAATAACACACTGTTATTTACTCACCAATAACACACAATTATCTTTGCTTTTATTTATTGGTTTAATTCCATAATCTCTGGCTTTTTGGCCTCCGTCAGGAACTGAATTTCAAAATAAAAATAACCGGAAACAGACGTAGGCATTTCGAGCGATTACCCAAGATCCTCAGCTATGGTTTTAAGCTTGTTTATCGGATGTTTTAGCCGCAATGCATGCTGGGATTTGGTGTTTATATGATATGAAATCTGAAAAACATTTTAAAAGAATAAAATAATACTTAATTCCGAGCGCTCTTGCTTTTCTCTTTGAAAGTCATCACATAACGGCATTGTAATACACGGTTCGGCTGCATTGTATATTACAGATCTGCCGTAGTTCTTTATTTATAGAGCCCTGATGAGAAGACCTTTGGAAAAACTGAGAAAATGCCGCCGAAACTGAATACTTGACGTGGATCATAAATATATTCAACAATTAAACAACATCTTCAATTTCTCTTCACACAATACGTCTCCTTGCAGTATCAACACTAATTCGGCTGACTTTTACATTTGATCTAATTCACAGATAGGTTATATTTAAACCATAACGGCGCACAGCTGATATAAAAGGACTGTAGTTTTTAAAGATATTACTGATTTTCTTTGAATGTAAGAATGTAAATACTGAGTCTGAAATAGTATAGCAATATGCTGTAAAATTATGTGAAAGCATGCATAAAACTACACATCTTCAGTGTGTACATTTATAATACAAAGTTATTATGGCTGTGTGTACCTTGTGTCAGAGTCCTGCATCGGGTCACCCGTCGGGTACCCGCGGGTACCCGACGGGTGACCCGCAAAAAAGGTGATTCGCAGGTGGTATTTTTTCAAACGCTTTTTTCCGGGTTCGGTTCTGGGTAAAACAAAGATGATGCGGGTCGGGTCGCGGGTATTGCATAATAAATATATTAAAATAATAATAAATTAGTTTAATGTTTAAAATCCTCAGACCTCTCCCCCGCGGGACCGCGCATAATCATAACCTCTGCAGCGCATCAATCTGCTCCTGAGCGCGCCACATTCGAAATGGCTGAGGTGAAGCTCTCTAGCGGAGACTACAGCATTTTCAATAACACTTCCTCAAGAGCAAAATCCAACGTCTGGGAGGCTTTTGGTGTCATCCTAGATGGAGAAAATAACCAACATCCCACGCTTTTTGAGACAAATATGCAACTGCGTGTGTTAATAATTGCACGTTTTCACTGCTCATAGGCTATGCGGGTTCGGGTCGGGTTGCGGATCTTGTGCCGACGGGTCGGGTCGGGTTGCGGAACTAATTGGCAATATGTGCGGGTAGCGGGGCGGGTTCGGTATTGCACGTCGCGGGTGCGGCGCGGGAGCGGGTCTTGAAAATCAGACCCGTGCAGGACTCTGCCTTGTGTGCACCTCCTAGTGGTTAAAGCACGTTATTGAATTATTTTTATATTTGATTAAAAAAATATTAAGAGTACATACTTTCATAGGGGGAAAGTATAAATATAGAATGTAAAAAATCAAGAAGATACTCTAAGTGATCTCTACAATAAAACAGTTTAGTGCAGAATGTACAAAGATATTAATAGGAGGAGGTGCAAAACAGAAAAACGAATTAACCTTTATTTAAACATTAAATAACAGATTAAGGTCTTCTTTTAAATAAGAAAAAAACTTTGGGGGTATCTATCTACAGATAAATATTAAGCCTGACAAAGTACTTAACGTCTAATATATTGCTTTCCTGCAATGTTAACTATGTTGAAGCACTTATTTTAACCGATATTATACATATGAATTATACTCTTATGTATGTAGATATAATAAGAAATGTGCAGAATATGACAGTTTGATGGTGGAGGTTCACACATACAGTATTGATAGATGTCTTGTAATGCACTGTTAAGGAACCAGTGACTCGAGTGTTTCATTCATTGCATAACTACACCGTAGTTGTGTATATGATATGTCAATAAACCTTTGAAAATCTTGAAAGGGATGTGCAAAATAGCCATAATATACAGTCTTTAATTAACTATTAGTAGAGAATAACGAGTAATGAATATACTTTATTACTCGTTTCCATTCATGTCAATTGCAGATACATGTTTAGTCTTCTCAAGCACCAACTATCAAATATCTCTCCTGATTGTTGGCACTTGACAATCACCTTACCTGAATTTTACTCAGGTGTAACTAAAGTCTGATTTAAGGGTTGTTTATATTTCACATAATTAATCAGAATCTGCAAAGTAACTCAAATAAATGCAGTGGAGTAAAAATACCAGGTTAACCTCTGAATTGTAGTGGAGTAGAATTACAAAGTAACAATGAGCTGTCATGTGGGTATTAATGCTGCGCATAATGGACACAAGCGATTTTCACCCATTTATTAATTATATGTTTTACATTTGATTTAACACCAATGTATTTAATACTGACAACTTCTAATTGTGGGAAAAACGAAAACGTTCAGTAGAGACGTCCCATAGAACATTTTGCGAAACACAATAGCCAGCATGTGTAGTTCTGGGGGGGCGTTCGGTTCCAGTTTTGGATAGTCTGGCGTGGTTTCGTTCCATTTCACACAGCTGTTTGACGCTCTGCGTAACCTTACGGGACTGTAGTCCTAAACGATAGCTAATGGGTAGTGTAGTGTCTTCGGCCACTCAGAAATGTTGACAATCGCAATGATGCTCGAAATGTCCCTTATAGGCCTACGTCTGTTTCCGGTTATTTTTATTTTGAAATTCAGTTCCTGACGGACGCCAAAAAAGCCCGAGATTATGGAATTAAACCAATAAATAAAAGCAAGGATAATTGTGTGTTATTGGTGAGTAAATAACAGTGTGTTATTTTGAAAAGAATATTGAATTAGAAGGAACAAAATATTTAAAAATACAGATTTCCGTATTCTGAGGCTCTGAGCCCCGAAATTATACGATTTAAAATAAAAGCAATAATTGTGGCTTGATATTGAGTAAGAAAATGTTTTTATGAACCACACAGCTTCCGGTCTCCCACGACCCGACCGGAGAAAAATCGTGCTGTGCAACACGAAAAAAAGGGGCAAATCGTGTTGGTGAACACGAATCAATAGATTAAAAATCGTGTTAGTGAACACGAAATGCCGTGAGACTGGGTTGGATGGCCTGCTGATGACGACATATCCGCATGATTTCAAAGTAAGAGCATGATGGTTTGTTTAATGCTCTGTTTTTTTATTATAATGAACAGCGGAATGTTAGATGCATTCTTTATCAGACTGGTCCTGAGGCAAAACACAGTTTGAACCGGTTAACGAACAGAGTGTCAGGACCAGCTGAGAGAGGGGACTCTTTCCCTTGTTCTGTGTGCGGGGGGTGGCCTCACAGACACGCTGCATCTCTCTCTCTGTCTCTCTGTCTCTCGCTCACAGACATGCTGCAGTGCAGTGCACACAGACCTGCCGGTAATGAACATTACATTTTGTGAGGAAATATTTCCATCAATAATTTCAATAAGTATTCCAGAATGTATTCACATCAGGTTTACGAAAGTAACTATAATCAGATCGTTTTTCAAATATAACGCGAGCTGAATACAGTTACCTAATTTGTGTATTCTGATTACGTAACGCCGTTACATCTATTCCGTTACAACCTATGGTTAGTTACAACCCAACCCTGATTGTGTTTGTTTGGTGTGTTATTACTTGGCTCACTCGAATGATACAGTGTGGGTGGTGTGCAGTGGTGTTGGACCTGTACTTGTGTAATGGGCCACTGCAGTTGAAACTCTTTCTCTGTGCCTTCCTGTCGCTGCAGATCTTTGACGAGGAGTATGCAGTGCTGTATCTCGACCAAGGAGGAGCCTTAGTCGCAATAAAACACACTCCGCTTCCCATCCGACACCTGTGGTGAGTCATTATGACAGAGACGTCACTTGCCACAGCATGACTAGGAGGAAGCCTCAAGACTTAAATTAGTCAAACAAAGGCAAATGAGATGGGGGATGATATTATTCAAGTTAGAACCCCCCCCCCAAGACTAGGAAAAGTATGCTTTGACAATTGCGTTCAATATCACGTTTACGTGTTTTAAGCCTTAATGAGTCTAGCCTCTGCTGATCAGTGTTCACTGAGCAGAGCTCCTCAGCCCTGCTTGGAATATGAAATAAAGTTGTCAGACGACTCTCAGGGTCATTAGCTCTGCACTCAGTCGGGGGGGGAATAGTGTTGGCGCCTTGTGTAATGGCTGTCTGTGTTCACAGGTTGAGTTTTGACGAAGGACAACAGTGGAAGAAGTACAGCTTCACCAACACGCCTCTGTTTGTGGACGGGGTGCTGGGCGAGCCTGGGGAGGAGACTCTCATCATGACGTGAGTGACAACAAATGTGTCAGAATGGAAATCAATCAATTACATGGATTATGGTTGCACTCAACGGGCCGGTTGTAACTTTAAGACTATAAAAATACATATATAAATATTTAATATATATAAAATAGTGTATTATATTACATTATTGCCTCTGCATTGGATTATTATGGGATAGGGTAATAATAATTATAATTAACTACGTCTGAAAGAAGAAGTCTAGGCCAAATAATTGCAAGTCTCTTCAGTGCGCATGTCACAAAATGATTTAAAAAGAAAAGCCAAATTCTTGAAAAAAAGTCAAACTCAAAAAAAGGAAGTGACATTTTGAAAAAAAGTCAAATTTTAAGAAAAAAGTATAACTTGAGATGCATTGTGGGAGATGTAGTTTATGGGCAACGTGCTTTTGTAAATCGGCATGTAACCGTATAATAAACATATTATATTCTTTGCAAGCCCTTGTGGGGCCACAGAAAATGAAGTCACAGGCCGGATTTGGCCCCCGGGCCTTGAGTTTGACACCCCTGACATACAGTATAGCCTCTGTGTATGTGTGTTTGTGTGCTCCTTAACCCGTGCATCTATATCTAAGCCTGCAAGATTCAGCATTTCCCGACTGCCTGTTTTTCTTTTCATGAATAAAAGAGATCTCTCTCAAGGTCTACCCAACATCAAAACTGGCAGTCTCCGAATTATGATCACAGGAGATCAATCAGCCAGCGACAGCATGACTGTCCATTTGAAGAACATGAAGGAACATGATCAAAAAAATGCCTGAGAAAACAGACTTTGGTCTGAAGAAGTTTTAACAGCATTATGAAGTCGATAGAGTCTTTGGTATCATTCGCCCTGTCCTCAGAATCCAGATTTACCAAGATTATTTTTGTGTTCTTTCACATTTATTAATAGAATAATAGCCCAGAGCTGGTGTGCGTGCATATGGTATGACACAGCGCTTGTCCCCTATTGCAGCAGAGATTTAGGGCTCGGGATGTGCTGGGAAAGGGTTTGCACAGCCATTACATCAATGTTTCAAGACACCTGCCATAAATGACAGTCTGACAGTGGGCTCTGTAGTCAGCTCTACAGGAGAGTGATAGGGCGCAGCTGGAGAGAGAAAGAGAATAGGGAAAATGCACAGCAATAGTCTCAACAAGAACACAATAAAGGGTTGGTGTAAAGACAATGCAGACATTTTGTTTTTCTTCTTGAGCTAAAGAGCTCTGTGCTGGCAGACACACCATTAGTTCTCATACGATTATCATGCACTGTTTTCTTATCAATTTGTACTCGTTCTCACAGTAAGTGCCTGTTGTGGTCGGGTGCCTCCAGAGCTAATTGACAGATTGATTGTGATAAATATGTTGCGGTACAAATGGTGAGGGGGTCAGAGAAGAGAAACACCCACTCAATTTATCCGGAGATGGAAAATTATCTGGTTAATCTCATAACCTTGGATTGTGATTTGTTTCTGACCATTTAAATATGGGTATTCATTATGATTAGACTTTCAGAGGGAATAAGCTTCCCAATGTACAAACTCACAATACAAACAAACTTAAAATGTAAAACTGGGCATTTTATTCCATTATCCAACTTTTAGAGGAAGACTGGTAGTTTTCTATATAATTACATTTTAACAAATCCCATATAAAGTAGAAAACAAACAATATACCAAAGTGCCAAGTATACAAAGTATGCTCCATCAAATTAATTGTCAAATTGTCCCTCCAACAATTCCTCTCTGATTTCGAAATTGGAAATGCTGCGTCCTTCTTTTTTTTTCTCCCTTAACCCAGTCTTTACCTGTAACTGTCTGGGTTTGTCTCATATCATTTGTTTTCTCATAAAGTCACTATTCTAATCTTTAAACAACATTTCTGTTAGTAGTTATTTGAAGCATGTTTCTTGTATAACAACCAACATCATGCATTTTTTTTCTCCAGGATATTCGGCCACGTCAGTCATCGCTCAGAGTGGCAGCTGGTGAAGATCGACTTCAGGTCCATCTTCAACAGGAGGTGTAAAGAGGAGGACTATCAGACATGGCACCTTCACAACCAGGTGGCAACCCTAACCCTATAACACACAAAAAGAAGGCCCCTTTAAATAGTGTTTGATACAGTGTTTAACCTCATCGAGCAGCATGCCTCAGCCTCAGGGGTAATGTGTGATCACTGGCTGCTTTTAGCCTGGCGCTTCAGTGAGTGGACTAAAAGCTGGACATCTCTGAGTTCCCAGAGCACTTATGCTGATTCTCCCGCCTCTCCTGCTGATGCTCTGAGTCAACCGACTCTAACCCCCACACATCGCATACATTAAACATGCCTGAAGAGCCTTCAACCTGGCCAGGGCCTGGAGCCCAGCCAGAGTCTGTAAAGCATGACTTTATTCACGGACCCCACTCTGTAATTGGTTCAGACACCCATATGCTCGGAGCAGGCTAATGATCAAAACATATAGCACGGAAGATGACAAGAGTCCAAGCCAATTACAGGGCCAACTTACCGGGAATGTAGATGTACTGTATTTCAGTCTGCTACAAGAAAAAACTCAACTTTACCTCAAAACGGAGGAGCGCTAAGCAGCTGGGAGTCTTTTTGTATATACAGCCAGATTTTTGTAGAGCATCTCACTACTGACACCTAATGCACAAAGCCAGGATGTTCAGGTCATGTAAAGAGAGGATAATAGGATGCAGTGAAACAGTCTGGAGTTTGTACTCAAACTGATCTTATATTCACGTTTCATGCATAGATAAAAGGCTAAAACAGGATTGGCAGCATTTGCCCCTTATTATTCCGTCATCTAAGAAATAAAAAACTCTTAAAAATAACTCAAGCAGCACATTCTACTGTGTGACATTTGCAATGCAGGAACAGTTGTTAAGTTTAGCACACCACACAGCACAAGGCCGTAAATATTCGAACAGGAAACAGGCCGAAAGTTAAACAAGGCAGCGGGGATTTTCACACAGTGAGATGCCCACATGGTTGGTTGCATCGTGTCAATTATTTATGGTGGCAAGTTACAAAAGCAGCTCATTTCTTTAACCCTCTCTGCTTGTGTTTCCTCACGGATCGGGTCTCCCAGGGCAAGTCCTGCCTCATGGGAGTGAAAAGGATCTACAGGAAGTTGAAGCCCTCGTCCAGGTGTGTTATGGGAAAGACGTATTCTGTTTCCATGACGTCTGGCCCCTGTGACTGTACTGAGGCTGACTTTGAATGGTGAGTTTATCATAATTTTTTACCATTCCCTTTTAAGACCAATTTTTTTTTTCCTTTTTGTTGTGTAATTATTTATTTTTTTGTATTTAATAATTTATTTGGTTAAGTAGATACTCAACCAGATGCAGTTAAAACTGATAATTGATAAAAATCCACGGATCAGAAAAAGAGCAACAAATTGATTAACAATAGATAATAGCATACAGCTAAGATATAAGGGATACATCATTAATACTGATACGCACCATCATTGTCAAATCTTACTACAGGAACATTACTAATGTTTTGTGTCCTATAACTTCCTTTTTTACCATCATTCATCAAATATATGAAATGTACATGTAATTTATCAGAGTGTTTCATTCTGAAGTTATTACCTTTTAACCAGTTTGTTGTAATTGTCTAATAATTGCTACTCTTATTACGATGAATCATATGTTTTGCTTTTTCTCTTATGTTTTACCAAGTAATAGTATAAGTGGGTACTTATTGATGGAAACTCCCAAAAATAGTTGACAATTCTCTTACAGTATAGCTATCTCCCAGAAACCACTTAAAATGTCACAATACCTAACACCATGAATATGGATTGCTTTCTGCTCACCACATTCTCTTTAGCATTTTGAAGTTCTTTGTGCTGACTTTGGATTTGGAGTGTCTTAAAATACAGAATAACAACTGGAGTAAGCTTTTTACAATCTGAGAAATAGTCCTCATGATGTGCATAGAGACTACAAACAATTAATGCAAGGTATTGGTAACAAACAGAGCTTGACCAATCATTACAAATAATTAATGGACTGCATTTATTTAGCTCTTGTTCCAGTCTTTCCAGCCCCTCAAAGTGCGTTTACATACCAGTCAGCATTCGCCCATTCACACCCATTCATACACAGGGAGGGGCTGCCATACAAGATGCCCCCTGCTCAGGTAGACTCACATTCACACACATTCAAACACCATTGGTTTAAGTTTCTTGCCCAAGGACACATTGACATCTGGAGTGCAGGTGCTGGATTACCACTAGGGTTAGGAACCATCAAGTTTCCTATCAAAGGAAGACCATATAAACCCTGGGACGTTTTAATGAGAGGACTGTTTTTTTAGGAAAAGAAGAACCCAGGAATTTTTGATCTTGAGCAAAACTACTGTCAAGTTCGGCTGCAGTTGGTTCCATTTTGACCGTTATCTCCGGAAAACACTGACAGACACTTTGGAATGCTGCTTACAAGAAGCCTCAAAGAAAGCAAAAGCAAAGCAAAATCAGCTCGGAATTAAAAAATAGAGATTTTTTCTTTATCCTGTCAGTGACACCAAGACTTAATGCTATTAGAAATGGCTTACAAATGAGTAGTTTCTACATTTCTTCATTCATTCATTTTTATTTGTTGTATTACTCAAACAGGAGTAAATAACACATTTGTCTGACGAGTATTATTCCCTATTTTAGATTTGTTGGACTATGGGGTACATTACAAGCATATTCAAAATCAAGTATACTCACTTTGCAGTCTGACATCTTTGAGTAAATAGGGTCTTATAGGGAAGTTAGAAATACAAAGCAAACAGATGCAATCCTATATCACTATACAGCTCCTACTGTGAGCACTTCCAAGCCTTCCGAACCAATACAGACAATGACAAAGAAAGAAAGATAAACTAAATAGGAATGAATGCACAATTGTCATTAGCAGATACTGAATTGATTGTACCGGAATACAAATGATAATTCAAAGATGCTTTGGTGGCTGTTGCTGGTGAGTCTTTCTAATACAAGTGTAGCTCACAAGAATGTTTTCTACACATCCTCACAACCTGCTTTTTTAGAATCATCAGCAGTATTTCATTTGTTGTCCTGCTTTGGTCCCAAATCTGGTCTCCTGAGCAAGCCGGCTCTGGGAACAAGCACCATCAAAACCATAAATCACTGAGCCTAATAGTTTTCATTAACAATCACAACAGTTTTGCATCTGTGTGCATGTCCCACTAATTAGGGCAATTTGTCGCTATCGTTTTGGCGACATAGTGCTGCTCTCCCTTTTAATTTGTAGGACAAACAACTTGTGGGCTGTGTTTGAAAAGCACCAAAGTGGAGCTTTTACTTCTCTCAAGTCTATACCAAAATGACATCATTTTAGGTTTTTGTTTCCCAAGATTCCGTTTGAAATACAGAGATGATGATATGTTTCAACAACACAGTCTCACTCCCTGCACGTCCAGCAGCGACGCTTGGTCAGGGTCCTTTGGCATCCAGTTGTAACGCGCCGAGCCTCCTTCAGCTTCATAAACAGACGCAAAGAGCTTTCAACTGATTGCAGTGTATTGCCATCGGCGGCGGTATTTGACGCTCAGGGAAGCACCTAGGGGTGTAACGGTTCACAGAAGTCACGGTTCGGTTCATACCTCGGTTTGGGGGTCACGGTTCGGTACGGGTTCGGTACAACAAGGACAAGCAAAAAAAAGGCCCAAATGCATCATTTTTATTTGCTGTTATTTATTTTTAACAGTAGTGCAAGTTTTGGTATGAAAATAAGGAACTCTAACATTTGGAATCATTAACTGTATTACACAGTTAAAAACAAACCACAAACAGTAACACACACACTCAGATGGCCAAATTATTTATAATGGCTGATGTCAAACTAAAAGGTTAAATAAGCTGTAGCCTACAACTAAAAAGAATGTCTTGAAAATATTTAAATAAGAAAGTGTTTCAATCACAATCAATAAAAGGCAATACAGAACTGTATAACATCTGATGTCAAAATATAAAATAAATACAATGATAAATATAAAACAAAATAAAATCTGTACCTTTAGGAGCAATGTCTAACATGTGTAATTAACTTGTGAGTGTGTGAGGCCATTATGCCTAAATAAAGGTACTCAAGCTTTACTCTATTTTCAAGTTTTTCTTCAAAAAGATGAGTTTGTCTACGTTGTCAGTAGTGAGGGCAGATCTGTTGGCGGTAACTATGTCACCTGCCGTCGAGAAAACCCTCTCGCTGGGGACTGAGACTGACTCGGATGTGATTGAGCATGTTTGACGTGTTACCACTAGCATACCGCACCGCTGTCGAACAACGCCGACACACCGTCCTCGTCCGATCCACAACTCGCACCCCATCATTGTTGTAGTCCACAGGGAACCCGAAATGTTCCCACACTTCTGATTTAAAAGAAGCAGGTGGGTCTTCTAGCTCCTGTGTGTTGTGTGAACTCGCCATAGCTGCTAACTTTTCTTCTTCATGTATTGTGTTCGTTTTGTTGTGTTTTGTTCTTGTTCTTCATTTGTTATTTACGGGCAGCTGGCTTTTAGGCGCAATACCGCCCCCTGGATTATATATAGTGTAATACTGCCCTGAGTGACAGACTTTTTTCCCCACTTGTAAAAAAAGGCGTATTCGCCGTGTGACTGCATGTGCCGAACCGTGACGTCTGAACCGTGACGGTACGGGACGAATACGGATACCGTTACACCCCTAGTTCAAGCACCGCATCAGTCCATGTCGGCGGCAGTTAAAGGCAATGTGAGCGTCCATTCCCATTGGATAACGGAGAATTTTACACCCGGAAATAAGTATTTCCCTTACTGTCGATTGATTTTACAGTGATATCTGCACTCATCAACTCAAGAACACCAGATTACCTTTGTTAATTAAACGACATTGATAAATTGTGTGCAATGCTTTTGTATTTTTCCCCGTCGATAGAGAAACACATGTTTTTTCGGAGTTTAGGATGGCAGAAGACACTACACTACCCATAATCCTCAGCTATCGTTTAGGACTACACCAGCCGCTTTGCTTGACAAACCCCGTGATTAGTCCTCAAGCTCTGTGATTGGATGTTGGCAGTGCGCAAAGTTTACGCCGAGCGTCAAACAGCACTTTGAAATGGAATGAAACCACGACACACTATCCAAAACTTGACTCGAACGTGTCCACCCCCCACCCCACCCCCCATAACTACACATGCTGGCTATATGTGTGTTTCGCAACATGTTTTATGGCGTGTCTCTGCTGGGAATTGTAGTTTTCGATCATCTTAAGATAAGATAAGATATACTTTATTGATCCCAAGTTGGGAAATGTTTTTGTTACAGCAGCATGTAAAACATGCAATTTATTGTTACTTTGTAATTCTACTCAAGGTTCAAGGCTTTTATTGGTCATGCATACATAGCTACAGTGTAGTTATGACAATTAACATCTTAGGTTACAGGCTCCTCCAACAGTGCAACACAATAAAACAGAAAAACAGAAAAAAATAGTGCAAGTAAAATACAAAAAGAAAAATAGTGCAATAGTGCAATAAGAGTCTATACAAGTGATTGGAATATGATATATTAGATACATAATTTCTTAGTAGCAGCCAGATGAATGTTATGGTTGTTGTTTCAAAGTTCAGGTGTTAATAGTCTTCTGGCCTGTGGGATGAAGCTGTCCCTGAGTCTGGTGGTTTTAGTCTGGATGCTGCAGTACCGCCTGCCAGACGGCAGCAGACAGAACAGTTTGTGGCTGGGATGATGGGGGTCTTTTATAATCCTGAGGGCTTTCTTTAAGGTTAACCTGGTATTTGTAATCCACTACATTTATTTTAATTACTTTACAGATTTGGATTAATGATGTGAAATATAAACAACCCTGAGTAAAATTCAGAGGAGGTGATTGTCAAGTGTCAACAATCAGGCGAGATATTTGATAGTGGGTGCTTGAAAAGACTAAACATTTATCTGCAGATCTCTATAAAGTATATTCATTACTCGTTATTCTCTAACCGTGTAGTTATGCAATGAATGAAAAACTTGGGTCGCAGGTTCCTCAACAGTGACAAGACATTATCAATATGTGTGTACCTCCACCATTAAACTGTCGTATTCTGCACATTTCTTATTCTATCTACATACATCTTATAAGATTATAATAAATATGTGTAATATCGGTTAAAATAAGTGCTTCAACATACACTGAACAAAAATATAAACGCAACACTTTTGTTTTTGCTCCCATTTTTCATGAGATGAACTCAAAGATCTAAAACATTTTCTATACACAAAATAACCATTTCTCTCAAATATTGTTCACAAATCTGAAAAAATCTGTGATAGTGAGCACTTCTCCTTTGCCGAGATAATCCATCCCACCTCACAGGTGTGGCATATCAAGATGCTGATTAGACAGCATGATTATTGCACAGGTGTGCCTTAGGCTGGCCACAATAAAAGGCCACTCTGAAACGTGCATTTTTGCTTTATTGGGGGGGTCTGGGGGGGTCCGAAAACCAGTCAGTATCTGGTGTGAGGGGTAGGGGTGATGTTCTGCAGCGTCACTTCATCAATATATTTTTCGGATATATTGTATTTTATGAATAGTGACTGTTAATTGTTTTTATTTGCTTTGTGTTTATATCTGTTCTATGTCATTTATATGGATGTTTCATTCTCTCTATATCTCACAGCCAAATACTTTTGGATGTGTGGTTCTTGTGTTCCAATTGCAGCTAAATTGCTTTATTTCCTTCAGGGCTTTGATTATTGACAGATTAAAAATAATAAACATTCATGAAAAAATGTTTCATTTACATTTGTCCTAGAAAAGCATGAGCAAAATGTAAACCTAGTTTTTATTACAGTGTATTTTTTTTTAAACATAAATTACATTTTTATCACAAAACAACGATGGACACTTCCATTGTTAAATTTGATCTAGCAAAGAATATTTTCAAAAATTAATCATATTTCATTTATATTGTTAGGGAATGAGTTAATAAATCCTAATTAGTTTGTCTGTTTTGCACATTCTCCTATTAATATCTTTGTACATCCGGCACTAAACTGTTTTATTCTAGATATCATTTACAGTATCTTCTTGATATTTTTCTATTCTATATTTCTATCATTGACCTTCTACTTTCCCCCTAATTTGTATGTACTCTTAATAATTAAATGTTTTCATCACATATAACACATTCAACAAAACATGCAGCAGACCTTAGACAAGGCAAGGCAAGTTTATTTATACAGCACCTTTCAACACAAGGCAATTCAAAGTGCTTTACGAAAATAAAAGACATTAGTAATTAAAAGCAACACAATCTACCTGCATTGCAATTACTCTAAACTTGTAATAACGTGCTTTAACCAGTAGGTGGTTCGGGTTAAAAAGCTGTCAAGTTTACAGTCTTAACACAATAATATATACTGCTGTTTCCGGTTAAGTTTACGACGGATATATTTTGTGATCCACAGACGACCACTCATATATTGTTTTGATATTTGTAACACAAAAGCGATGGAAAAACCCACAGCAACACAGAAAAGATGGTCTTAACATGAGCGGTCTAGTTAATAAAAAATAATAATATCAAAACAAAATATTACTACTAACTTTATTGTGAAATTCAAACAGAACGGTAAAAGAATAGTTTCCGGTCTATTCTGAGGCCCAATCTCTGTAGATAAATAAAGAACTAAACCAGATGTGTAATATATTTAATGCAGCCGAACCATTTATTACAATGCATTTATGTGATGACTTTCAAAGAGTAAAGCAAGCACTGCTGAATAAAGTATGATTTTATCTTTTACGAAACTTTTTTTTTCATATGGAATGCAGTCGGAGGTCAACCAATCACAGAGCTTGAGAACTAATCACGGGGTTTGTCAAGCAAAGCGCATGGTGTAGTCTCAAACGATAGCTGAGGATTATGGGTCTTCTGCCTATGACTATGGGTCTTAGTGTCTTAGTGTCTTCTGCCATCCTAAACTCCGATACAACTATTTGTTTCTCAGAGTCGAAGGGGAAAAACACAAAAGCATTGCACACAATTTAAACCAATCAATGTTGTGTAATTAACAAGGATAATCTGGTGTTTTTGAGTTGATGAGTAATGCAGATATCACTGTAAAATCAATCGACAGTAAGGAGAATACTTATTTCCGGGTGTCAAATTAACCGTTATCCAATGGGAATGGACGCTCACATTGACTTTAACTCCCGCCGACATGACCGATGCGGTGCTTCCCTGAGCGTCAAATACCGCCGCCCATGGGAATACATTGCAATCAGTTGAAAGCTCTTTGCGTTTGTTTATGAAGCTGAAGGAGACTCGGTGCGTCACAACTGCACGCCAAAGGACCCTGACCAAGCATCGCTATTGGACTATCAGGGAGTGAGACTGTGTTGGTTTCAACATTAAATTATTTACTATCCTTTGATTGATTTGTCTGTGAGTGAAAAGAGCCATTATACAAATACATGTCGCACTTGAAATGGTGCGTTCATCATTTTTCCAACAGCCTCATGATTTGTTGTTTCCGTTAGCGAATCCATCCTGGTATCTAATTGGATAACTGTTTCTGTTTTTTGTCTGATTCCATCATTACAGTGATTATGGCTACGAGAGACGGACCGACGGCAAGTGCACCCCCGCCTTTTGGTTCCATCCATCATCCATGTCCAGGAGTTGTACCACAGGGATGACGTTCCTGAACAGCACCGGGTGAGCGCAGGACGAGAGGCTAGAACAGGCGCACGTATTCTCCATAGTGACTCGCAGCCATCGGGCGAAATGACTGGTGCATTTGTGCCGTATATCTCTGTGTATGTTAATTAGTTTCTCAGGGACAACAAGGACAGGCTGAGAAAATGTGGGGCTGAATGATCAAACATGCTACAAGTAATAACCGCTGGTAGTGACGTGATCCACTGTGGGTGAAGAACGGTTTGAGTCATGTTTGAAAATACTGAATTAATTATTATATATATATATTGTTCAGTGTAGGCAGGTGTAAGTAATGTGGCCTTTCAAGATTGTACTCTCTTTAACAAAACAACCTTCCTTTCAAGGTCCATTTAAAGCAGTCCTACATGTCTTGGAGTAGATACAGATTTGAAACATTTGTTATAATTTGCCAGTGTAGTGAAATAAGTGCACTTAATAAGAATTCTTGAAATAATAACTCTGGATGATAGAAAACTGACAAATGTCTTGAAATAGAAATACATATCAATCTGACTTTGAATGATCCTTTGTGATTCTTCAAACAGTAGATGCTGCTCACTCTTGAAATTCTTGTAATTATTTTTAATTTGTTTATTGTTAACTTAATGTATGTGTAAGATGTCTGGGAACACTGCTTATATTTCATTTGAAAATATCAGCTAGCCCATCCTATTTTTCTTGAACTTCTAGTGATTTATGCAAAGTTTATTATTTTTGTTTTAGTTGTCCAACTTCATACTAACACTGTTCAATGTTAACCATATCCACCCGTAGAGTCTTGCAAAATTAAACAGGTTCAGAGTTTTTAGTTATTTATTATTCATAGCCTAATTTAAAATATATATATATTTTGAAAACATTGCACATTTTATAATTTTCAAGATGTTTAAATTAATACAAAGACATATACAAAATGATCTTGTTAAACACATTTAGTTCTTAATTATGAAATGTGTTTTACAATGTTCAGATTTCTTATCTGAACAGAACGTTTTTCATTTCAATTATTGTTTTGTATCCATGTCAAGTTTACACATGTTGTGGTGTCCTGCATAAGTATATTGAAGCTTTCTGTATTTGTCCACCGGCAGCTACAGGAAAGTTGTCTCCAATAACTGCACGTCTGGAGTCAGTGTGGAGTACACCTCCCGCAGGCAGCAGTGTCCCATCCAGGCCCCCAAAGGTCTCCACCTGGTCACCAGTGAGGGCACGTTGTCAGCCACTCTGGGCACCAATGTCACCTTCCTGGTTTTTCTGGAGGAGGTAAGCGGTTTTCAGTTCTTTTTTAAAAAACTTCACAAACCGTCACACCATACCAAGCATTTGTCACATTCTTATTTAGCGCTCCTGCTTGGTGAAAACTATTTTTTTTTCAGTTAAATTGTTAGAAATATGGCATATGGAAATGCAGATAGCAGCTGTGGATCCTGCTTCATTACACTTCCATATGTCCCATGACTGGACTGTTACTATGGAGACAAAAACACATGCTCAACTTCAACCATGTTATGTTCCTACTCTCTTTACATACACTCACAGTTATATCATTGAAAATATAAAAATACAACCTTCTGCTCTCCCTGGCCAGCTTGGTGACACTGCCATAGGACCAAGGACAGTGATGTTACTAACTGAAGTTCTGTACTTAAAGTGGTACTACACCCATTTCCAAAGTAATAGATTGTTGTTCGTAAGGTCTATGGCAGTGCAACATGTTAACATCTCCAAAATCAGAGTGCTGAAACTCAAATGTTCTTGTCAAATGTGCCTAATGTAATGCCATGAACTGCTCCAGATCCTAACTCAACAATTGAATCTTTCCTCTCTACCGCCTGGATAAAGCAAAAATATAGAGCGTTTTTCTTTTTTGCTATCTGCCATTTTGGGCAGCCAACTTCAACTCTTGAAGTTGAAGATATTTCACCCAAAACTTTTGTTCACTAATATTGATAAAAAGCCATGGAAAATACTCTAATTCCTAATTTCAGGCATAATTTTACTTGACTTCTCACTTTACTACATTTATCTAAAATCCACCATACTAACCCTATCAAGATAATCATAGATACATCTAACTAAATGATATCCTAAGTATATTTTATGTGTTCAAACCTCCCATTACAATGGCGCTTACATGCTAGTCATTTGTTGTACTTCAATAATAATATAAAGTGTATAAGGATATACCTCTCTGAAGGGAGCAGTTTTGCCCAATAAGTACTTTTATTATCACTTTATCACAATCTTAAATGTAAGACTCTTGTGTTTTTCCTGAGTGATACAGATACTTTTACTTATTTAAATATATTGATACATTTCCAACACTTCCCATGGATGTGTAACTGTAATATAGACGGAAACAGTTTCCTTCCAGCATTCATGAGGGGCATCTCTCAGTATTGTTGTGATAAAAAATCCCCTATTTCCTAAAGAGATGTTCTCCTTATTTCCTCATTTGCTAGTTAGCTAAATGAATAAGTAAATCTGTAGTTGCTAGTATTACTAAGAATTGTACACATCAACATCTATTCACAGATTAATCTATAAACAGGTGTTGCAACCCAATCATTAGGATTCCCTGCCGCAATAGCAGTACTTAATAATTAAAGCTATATAGACTTAAATACCATTAAGTGGATATATCTATCTAAAGTACCATACATTATGATAACTAGGACCACAGAAACGACCAATACTTGGACTCTGCAATGAAAGTGTCAAGACATCATTTCACATCTTTGTACAAGAAGAACAAAGTGCCATGGTGGAGTGCGATGTTACAAGGTGTTTGAACCTGAGAGTATCTGTGGGTTTGATGTTTCCAGGGCGACGGGGCGAGGACAAGCATTACCCTGGACTTCGGAGACGGCCACGCTCTGACCTACTCCAACGTGAGCTCTATTGAGGACGGGATCAAACACGTCTACAAAGCTGTGGGAATATACCGAGTGACGGCCACAGGGGAGAACATCCTTGGCTCAGAGACAGTCATGCTCTATCTGCATGTAACATGTAAGATACTGAATTTGGCGATATTTGGTGTTATTAATGTACATATGTATTTATTAGGATAGACTATTTAGAGCTAATGCTTGAAACTGATGTCTTAAATCACTGGTTTAAGGAAAACAGAAGATGAACAATACTGGCATATACAAGGGTGCAGTCACATTGTGTGCCACCAACCGTTCTGCCAAACTCTCCTCCAGTCTGCTTAATTAACTGACTCTTAACCTGGTCATGCTCATGTCTGTCTAGAACTAGGGTTGTCAACGTTAATGTGTTAATGCACACCAATAATCTGGAAACCTTAACTCAACGCAAATTAATCAAATTACCAAAGTTGACCCCAACTTCCTCCCGAAGTTCCATCGAATCATTTTAACCATGAATTGGATGGCAGTGAAAAATCTAAGAAAGCAGAAAAATGGGCACGAACATGTATTTCACTGACAGGAGACCGCCAAGACGACCTCAGTGTAACTGCAAACCCAATCCAACGGCAGCTCCACTAATTTGGTTTAAAAGATATGAGAATGAAAAACGAGGGAAGGCATTTGTTTGAACCATGTGCTCGTTTCTTGAAGTTGCACAGGAGTGGGAGATAGAGGACAACGCTGTCCACCACTGTAGGAACAGATATTGGAACAGATATTGCCCGCAGTATGATAGCAGCAGTAAGATTGCTGACATACGAGCATATGCCCTGTGTTGCGCACATTATTCAGAGGGCAATCACAGCAAACGAGACAGTAGCTTTGTGTGATGCTTTAGATAAGTGTCGGGAAATGGTCGAATTTGCCATGCCAATAATTCAAAATGTTATAAGAATGTAAAAAAACATTTGATTTTTCTTTACAGTTTGCATTGTATTTATTTATATCTAGAAACATATGTAATCTCTTTCTGAAATACAAGTACATACAAGTATTTAAGACTTGCAATTAATCATGATATATCACAGATTATTATTGTTTTATCCTAAACCTTTTAACTATTCAAAACATGTCTACACTCCAAAAACAGTGGCACCACCTAAAAATGACAATGGACGTCACAATTGTAACTATCTCCTAACACTAGGATGGATCAAATGCAGAGAAAACATTTTGTTACTAGTACCTGTACCTGACAATAAAAGTAAAACAAAAACAAATCTACCTGATGTGACTTAAGACATACATATCTTCTAATATTTCAAATTCAAAAGCTTTTATTGTCATTGTACAGAATACAACAAGATGTATAGTCACTGCTCCAGCGAGTGCTTTAAAAACAGACATATTAAAACACAGATTAAAAGGTCTGACAGTTTCAACCAGCAAGTAGTGCACACAGCTTTGGATGGTCATGTAGATGACCAGGATTAATAAATAAATGAATACAATAGAATTATGATAAAATATATATGATAAATATTACAGTGTATACATAGAACTGGAGAGCTGAGAGCCGCTGCACACACGCGCGCCGCCATCTTCATTACTTTTGAATATTCAAAGGAATTATCTAAAAAATGACTTATACATATTCTGTTCTTTATCTCTTCACAGAACATCCTCCCCTCCCATAACCAAACAAACAAGCGAGATAGAACAAATCCCATTCCACTCAAGTCAGCTTATGCCTCACAGCCGCTCAGCCCGTGGAGCCGCTGCAGCCTTGCATGTCGTGCTGACCACCCCTGGTGTATTCTGGGGTGACAGATGTAACGTAGCTGACTTATTAATCAGGGAGCGCCGCTGTCCCCGCCAATCTGTCAATCCTGTGAGCCAGCCAAACAAATAGAGCCACCGCAGGCTCCGGAGTGCAGCAAATGAAAAATAACACACATATGGCAGCTAACGGTCCCAGTGCAGGACGGAATTCTGAACAAACTCACCCTCCCCTCCTAGGCCTACTTAAAAACCCCACTCTCCACCTCTTTCTCCTTCATTTCAAAGTTCGTTCTTTAATTTTTCACTTGTTTTTGGAGTTCTGTGCAAATGTGCTATATCTGTGTGCCTGAGTAGGTCAGCTGGAGCATATCCATCTCTCAGCTCCCTTTGTGGCGGTAAAGAATAAGGAACTGAACCTGACTGCTGTTCTGCTGCCCAGCCAAGTGGGAACGGTCACCTACATCTGGTGGATCGGAAATAACACAGAGGTAGTGTACACTCAGGACTTTCCAACTTCTCTCTGGTACGCCTTTCGCCGATTGCAATGAAGTAGGTTGCTGACTCTTCAGCTCCAGAATGCGATAATTGTTATTTTGCTAAGCAATTTTTGGGCATCCAGGTTGCAGAATATTATGGCCTTGTTAATCAGAGAATATCAGAGGCACAGCCTAATTACTGATAGCCAGTGAAGTGTATCCTTTTTTCATTATAACTCCTCTAACTAAGGTCAAAAACTGCCTGGCAGAGCTGGTCAATCCCACACATAAATGAGGTCCGAAAATACAATTTTCTTTACTAAACCTGAGTGTTCTAACCATGCAGAGAAACAACACGTAGCTAGAAATGAATGCATCGACCGCTCGCTGTATGTGGAATTTTCCATACTGTGTTATTTTTCTCTGGCCCATCTTTGGTTGCACATTTATGGAGTGGACTTATAGAGCTCAGGATTATTTTTGAAATGTTGTACAATAACAGTATATTGCTACCCAGAAGAAAATACAAGAAGAGCAGGCTAATTGGCTAACTCGCGCTAGCCTCACAAGCTAGGCTACATATTAGCATGCTAAAACATTTTTTAGATTACACTTTCATCAAGTGACTTAGTGGTTTTAACCATGAAGAAACCAATTCAAAAATCATGCAGGTAAATTAACCAAAATTGAAGTGGTAGGGTGTCTGTTTTTATCTTTGTTATGCGTAAAATGTCTCATGTTTAAAAATCCTGTACATTTGCAACACAGAGTGATTTCACATCGATGTGTGCTTCACTTCAAAGCCGTTTTTCCCTAGTTAGTGCATTCAATATTTAAAACCCAGGAAATTCCAAAAGAAAATGTAAATCAGACAACTTTGGAGTTCCCAGAAGGCGGTTGTATCACTTGTCCTTTGGCAGAGGTTAAAATAGACTTCAAACCTTTAGCTCTGGTGCCAAGCTAACATGCCCCAGACCAGTCTCATTAAGCACAAAGAGAGGGAAATTAAGCAAATCGATGTCTCAGGCAGAGCACTAAAGCTGCGTTGGCACTAACTGGTTGGCATCAGCTGCTTCTGTCATGCTTCAACAGCTGGGAGGCCACCAGCTAACAAGTCATCTCCAATCATCTTCATGGAAGCAATGTGGTCGTTATGAACTGACACCTTTTACTATTTTGCTGATATGCAGCTCATGCCAATGCTGGTTTGCTGCCATAGCTCCCTCCACTACCACAACCTCCTTGTTCTATAATAAACTTTAGGTATGGAGATTGAGGGTTAATGCTAGGGATGGTCCGATTGCCAATTTTGGGGCCAATCGCCAATTGCCGGAATCAGTATCGGCCGATCCGATCGAGTGGGTGGGGCCTATGGGGATCTTCCATTTAAATTGATGTTTAAAACTCAGTTAATGGGGCTCATTCACTGGCACTTACACAAACAACAACCAACATAATTATTACATTCAAATTAAGTACATTATTCAAGTTTACATTCACTTTGGATAATAACACGGAAGAAATAACGGGAGCCTCTCTCTTTTCCTCTCTCCGTCTCCTGACTGTCAAACTCCTAGGTTTATGTCACGTTTGTAGTTTTGGTGTTTGCTGTCATGTTTTCCTCCTTGTATATTGTCTGGTCCTTCTTCCTGTGTTTTTCCTCCCGTCGTTAGTTTCCCTGGTGTGTCTAGTTGTCTGATTGTGTTCACCTGTTGTCCTTGTGTTCTCCTCCCCTGCCCGGCTGTTTCTCGTCTTGTGATTACCCCTCCCTGTATTTAGTCTTGTCTACTCCTGTGTTCAGTGTTGGTGCTTCTTTTGTTTGTGACCTAGTTCACCGTAGAGTGTTTTGTTTGTTCCAAGTTTACTCAAGACCTTGAAATAAAGGTATTATCAAGTGTTATCTGCGTTTGGGTCCTACCTGCTTCACTCTGCGTATCACTGACAGCCTGTCAGTATCTCATGCAGCTCACTGATCCAGTAATGAATGACCCGACGGTGAAGAATAAACATATTTCTAACTAGTTTAGCTTGTTCCAGAGGTAGATCAAATAGCTAAGTGTGTTAGGTCTAACTCTTACCCCCTAATCCCACCAGGAGCGTCTGCGCTGCGCTGCGGCGTTTTTAGCGATCGCGGCCACTCTAGTCAATGGGTGCTATTCCACCAGACACGCTGTGCCGCGCTGCGCCGCGGCTCGAAGCGTCCCAGAAGCTCCTCGCCGCAAGGAATTTCTAAAATATAGGATGAATCCTATTTTTGACGCGGCGCATCACGGCGCAGGCAGGAAGTGGAATGTTCATCCAACAACTGCGAGGCTGCACACACGACGCTCCGCTTCCGCAACGTTTTGAAACGCGCCTGGTGGGTTAGGACGCAGGAGGAGGTCGCAGCGCGGCGCAGCCGCAGCGCAGACGCAGCGCAGACGCTTCCAGTGGGATCAGGGGGTTAGTGTGTGTTTTGCTCCGCTCAGCGGTCCGTCACAGTGGGCGGAGCTGCAGGATTTCTGCTTCACACACGTTGCAAATCGCTATTTTATTTTCATTTTCGGACACCTTAAAATACTGCCAGACAGGTGAAGCCATTTTGGCGAGCTTGTTTTGCCGCACACAGAGAAAAGTGTCATGTATTTTACGTCATGTGATCGGCTCTCACGATCGGTCTTTATAGAGAGCACCGCAGGCGGCCGATCGATCAGAGCATCCCTAGTTAATGCATGTGTTTATCGGGAGGAATTTGTTCTCCAGCAGAATCCTTTTGGAAAGGTCCTTCTGAAGCAGAGCCTTTTTCAAACAAACACAGCTCCACACCCATTTGGCTATAAATGCTTGATTTCTTGTTGATGTGTCCCCGACTGAATTCATAGAGACAGCCTGGACACTGTTGTTTAATAAAAATACTATTAGAAATATCTCAATCTTATTCAAATCAGAATACTTCATTTATACCGGTGAAAATAAAATGTTGTGATATATGTTCCTTTTATATTAGAATTAAAATATTTACCAAACATTAATAGAAACGTGCAATAAACCTATAACATTTAATATGATGGATATATGTATACAAACACAAGTAAAATAAACATACAATGACATTTATGAGCACTTTTTACAATTATTCAGTGATATAAGCAGATTCAAATGCATAATGGGGAATGCAGAAACCTCTGAAATGCGATTGGAATCATACTTCAAAAAGCAACCTCCTTTTTTCTGGACCAACAGAAGCACTGTACGCTTTATGTCCTGTTTTACATATTCTCCACTGTGTCTGCCATCATAATTGTAGTTGTGTAAATGTGATTACTCAATGCCAACAGGGGCCTTCCACAAGGACAGCCAGTTATGTCAGTGGGTAATAAACCACGGCATTATTAGCATCTTATAGCTATTTGAAAAACAAATGGAGACGTGAGTAATGACAGTGAGGAGCGGCGGTGTCGCACAGGGAACTCTCTGCGGGCCCCGACACTTTATTCAGCACAGCAGATTGTTGCCAAGCTGTGTGTGTGTGTGTGTGTGTGTGTGTGTGTGTGTGTGTGTGTGTGTGTGTGTGTGTGTGTGTGTGTGTGTGTGTGTGTGTGTGTGTGTGTGTGTGTGTGTGTGTGTGTGTGTGTGTGTGTGTGTGTGTGTGTGTGTGTGTGTGTGTGTGTGTGTGTGTGTGTGTGTGTGTGTGTGTGTGTGTGTGTGTGTGTGTGAATATTTGACAGCGTGCCAGAAGGCTCACACCTCTGTAGTGTGAATAACAGCAGTGTGACATCGGCCGTTGATAAGGGGTCTCTCTCTGGGATCTCCAGACTCTGACTCTCTTCATCTCCCTCTCTCCTACTTTCCATTACCGTCTCCCTCTTTCTCCCTCAGCAACCGGTAATCACCCTGGAGGGAAGTGTGGCTTGCACGTTCTCCCGGGAAGGCATCAATGCAGTCACTGTGCAGGTGTCCGCAGGGAATATTATTCTGCAGGACAGAAAAGCCATCGCAGTCCACGGTGAGCCAACTCTGAAACTCCACCTCCGCTGGGAATTTGTATCTCTGTAAACACAAGTTCACTCAACACAATTTACTTAAAGGTCCCATGTCATGCTTTTCCGGTTATTACCCGTCCCCATGTGTGTTATGAAGGTTTTTATGCATGTAAACGGTGTGCAGAGTCAAAACCCTCAAAGTACACCCTGTAGCGAGTAAAACTCTAAAACAGAAAATACCTCCCCAAAACGCCTCGTTGGAGATACGTCACTGTCCATTTGATTCTTCCGGGGACATCATGATGTCATGTCGTCCCCGGAACTAAATGGACCAATCCGTGGAGCCGTTACGTTACGTCCACGGAGCCGTTACGTTAAGCCCCCGCTGATTGGTCCAAATTGACCAATCCACGGACTTCCTCACACACTCAGTGCAAGCAGCTCTGCTGATCTCTCCTCCCTGGCTGCAGGCTGATAACAGACAGTTGGGATCGCGGCGAAATTCTCTCTGCAGACCCATTCTCTCTGCAGACCCGTTCTCTCTGCAGACCCATTCTCTCTGCAGACCCATTCTCTCTGCAGACCCATTCTCTCTGCAGACCCATTCTCTCTACAGACCCATTCTCTCTGCAGACCCATTCTCTCTGCAGACCCATTCTCTCTACAGACCCATTCTCTCTGCAGACCCATTCTCTCTGCAGACCCATTCTCTCTACAGACCCATTCTCTCTACAGACCCATTCTCTCTACAGGCCCATTCTCTCTGCAGACCCATTCTCTCTGCAGACCCATTCTCTCTACAGACCCATTCTCTCTGCAGACCCGTTCTCTCTGCAGACCCATTCTCTCTGCAGACCCATTCTCTCTGCAGACCCATTCTCTCTACAGACCCATTCTCTCTGCAGACCCATTCTCTCTGCAGACCCATTCTCTCTACAGACCCATTCTCTCTACAGACCCATTCTCTCTGCAGACCCATTCTCTCTGCAGACCCATTCTCTCTACAGACCCATTCTCTCTACAGACCCATTCTCTCTACAGACCCATTCTCTCTGCAGACCCATTCTCTCTGCAGACCCATTCTCTCTACAGACCCATTCTCTCTGCAGACCCGTTCTCTCTGCAGACCCATTCTCTCTGCAGACCCATTCTCTCTGCAGACCCATTCTCTCTACAGACCCATTCTCTCTGCAGACCCATTCTCTCTGCAGACCCATTCTCACAGCGTTTATCAACCTTTTTCTTACTCAATATCAAGCCACACTTATTGTTTTTACTTCGGCTGTGACTTTGTGTGTGCTCAGGGTGAGTTTGGCTGTGTATCGCTAAACAAGGAAACAACACCTCCACGGAGCTCAGCGCGATTCACAACGTCCCGACCAATCAGAGCACACTGTGCTCACAGGGAGGGTAGGGGCTGGAGCTATTGGAGCTACAACGAGCCGTTAAAGGCAGAGAGTGAAATTCAGTGAATACATGTAGTTTACAGAGATGCTGTATGAGGAACCAATGTGAGTTTGGAAAATTGCACAATATAAATCTATTCTAGTAGACCTCAACAATGGAATTATGATCAGTGGAAATGGCCATGACATGGGACCTTTAATAAGACACAAATAGATTTGACTTTGCAGTATACCATGTTGTTTTTATACACATTTGACAAACAAACAAAACAGACAATGACAGCCTCAAGGCTCCATTCATTCAAAAACTATTTAAAACAAGCACATTCATTATAGTTGCTTTATTAGCATTTATGCAATAGAGTGGTGCAGACCAGGGCCAGGAAGTAAGCATCTCAAGGGCTCCCTAGACAAAAAGCTATGGGATATCCCCATTGGATTTCCTGGCTATTGCAGAAAAATAAGCCATGAGGCAAACTCACATTTTTGATATTTATTACATTTTGTTCAGTAGGATAATCTCCACATATTAACACCACTTTATGATTTTGAAGGGTAAATGCAATTGTCAGAAATAAAAAGCTAACGTAAGGCTAAAAACGTATCAGCAACGCTAAGATAGGGGCAGACACATTTCAACGTGATGACGTTAATTAGATTATGTAGTCACTTAATACAACCCACAGTTTTTATGACACATTAACACTTCAGAGATTAACGAGTGGGGTATTTTATTAAGTTAATGTTCATTAACAAAATGTGAACATCTCTTAAGCGTATGGCACAGACCTTATTACAGACTTCTAACCACAAACACGTTTAAGTGGTAAAATGCTGACTAGTTTCAGGGTTTTAAGACTCATTACCGCACCACTCTATGTTGCTCTGACTTTCTTACATTTCGTTTGATACCCTTTTTTTTGTAAAGTATATCCTTTATCGTTTGTGCAGAAGGAAAAAAACAAAAATTCCCTGTGCAAAGGGTAGAGGCTGTCGTTGTAACCCTTGTCTAAAGGGATCCTAGGTGAAGATGTGATTCACCAATCAACCTTTTAAACCATTTCATTATTAACCGTATGTTATTACCTCTGCAATAAGGTTTGGTTTTTGGCTCGGTTTGTGCGTTTGTTTTTTATGTTTGTCAGCAATGTTATAGAAAACTGGTACCAGATTTTCATTTATTAGGTAGAAGACTGATAGACTGCATTTATATCAGTTTTTAGGTACGCAAATTATGATTCACATTCACAAGGCATTTAAGTTGCATTCATATATTGTCAGAATAATGGGCAAAACAAAAACCCTATTGAGAAAATATATTGGCTTTGCCAAAGGTCATGTTTTTTTTATTTATTATTCTTTAGTTATTTATAATATTGTACTTCACAAGTGTTACCACTTGCCATGAATCGGCTTGTTCATGTGAAAAAGATTTGTTATAAAGTCTTATAAATAATGTATCAAGTATACATAAATAATTAAGCAACTTTTACCAACTGTTTACTAGATTATACACAATGCAATAAAGTATTAATAGAGGTTTTTATGACAACATAGTTCAGCAGTACTTGAAGAGATTTGAAGACACTGGCGATGATATGGAATTATACTTGAAAGATGGTCTTAGATTTTGGTCCACCTGAGCTAAGGATAAGTAAAAGTAGCTCACACAAATGTATTTTCCTCCTTGCAGAATATTTCCGCTCTCATCTGCTCGCCTTTTCATCAAACCTGGACGACCACAACCCTGATGTTGCAGAATGGAGGCAGGACGTGAGCCGAGTCATCAAGAAGTCTCTGATCCAGGTAACGCTCTCTCAGGTCTTCTCATGGAAACCGATGCTTTCCTCCAGTAAGTGCTGTCAGCGCTCGCCTGGACCTTTGACGGTCTATTAGTGCAGCCTGACCTCCCTACGGCTCTGAGACATGAATCTGACTTTTATGATGATAAATGACATGGCAAGATGGAAGAGAGGGGGGGGAAATACAGTTCAAGAGCATGCTGATTGCAGTGGCTGGCACACACTTGGAGTTCAGGGCCGTACAGTAACAAGGCTGGGGATGTTGTGTACAGAAGGATAAATGTCACTCGGTGCCTGCACTGACCTAAAAGGATGCGAGTGCTTTCAGACATGTGAAATGTAAGACATGATTCAAACTCCCAGCATGCAATGTGAGGTACATATTTTTGCCTCATTAACTTTGTTTGTTACAACATCGGCTGAACGTAGATTCTTTATTCCTAGCAACAAGCAATCTGGGCCTTGCATCACACTTTTTCTTTATCATGCAAAAATCAAAATTGATGCCAAAAATATACTCGGCTTTTCAGTCTTCAGTGAACACGTCTGTTTTTGTTATTTGTTACCGACATCATTTCAATCAGGAGAGACGGTTTTGATGTAAGAATACATATTTATTGCAAAGATACACAAATGAATGTAATGGTGATTTTGGCGATTAGGCCCCATTGTGCAGGAGTACCATTCGGGAGGGTAGAACCGATCCGATGAAACCCCGGGGTCTCGATACTGGTGGTGGTGAATGGATAGTTGGGTCGGTCTGAAGGGGAGCGGCTTAGCTTGACCCTGGATTCAGAGGGACAGGAGGTGAAAAAGGGGTGGAGGAGGGTTGCGTCGAGTCACCTGAAATGACAGCTGTCAGAGGGGGGGAGAGCAGATTTAAAAGGTTTGGCAGAGCGCTATGACAGGCTCTTGGGAATAGAGCGAAGTGATTGGTTAAGCTGGAGAGTGACGCCCCCGATCACTTATTGAGAGGAGAGAGAGTAGTTACGTAGGAATAGTGAATGGACGGTCTTCCTGGTTGAACTTACGCTGAGCTTCATTTGTTCATGACAATGTTGCTGGAAGGCAGAACACCAAAGGAAGAACAATTTCAGTTGAAAATATGACATGATATCTTAAAGCACTCACATTCACACGATTCACTGCGGCAAAACAGCGCAAGAGCTGGAAGAGGAACCAGAGGATTTATTAACTGACATGCTTTCTATGTGTTTTAAGTTCCTTGCATTAGAACAGCAACATCTTAGCATCAACCAGCAACACCATGCTGCTAAAGTGGTAAAATGGTTCTGCTTGATGTGCTTAATGGATTATCAGATGATGATCACACAGATAGATAAAAGCCTTTGTGTTAGTACAGGCAGATACTCATTACAAGCAATGGTTTAGATCTGTTAATATACATAATTTAAATCTAACAGATGACAAATTATGATGCAATTAGCTCATATCATGCGCTTCATAACTTAAGATAGACAATATTAAATATTACGGTAACAGTTGACGATGCCCTATAATCATCTTTAGTTTTGTTTTAAGACACCTACTTGACAAATATTGTTATATTGTGATCTTAACAAAGGGCCCTGCACTGAAAACACTGACATGTAGATTCAACAAATGTCACATAAATGTATTTAGTTAGTTGAAATCAATAGGTTCAACTTAATATCATTGCTTTTAACTAAACTAATAACTAACTAATATAGTAATATATAATATGAAATGTATTGACATAATTATAGTTTTGCTAAACTATGGTACTTTTTTAAATGTCCTACTTTGCCTATTTTTAAATCTCGTTTAAAGACGTACTTCTCCCGTGCTTTTGCAGACCACGTATAATGGCGCATTTCCACTGCAGCGGGGTAGCCCCGTTTAAGCGTCCCTAAGCGTCCTCGCTCAGGCCTCGCTGCCTCTCTGGCCGTCCGAGGCCGTGGCGCATTTCCATTACAGTTTAGGACCTGGGGTAGCAACGCAGTGTAGGCGGGGCGATCGGCTTTGTTTTTGTTCACATTTCGAGTTGTTCCGTCGAGCTCCCGCTGGATTTGATCATCCCCAATGAGATGTAGGAACGTCGTCACCTCCTCGGTCGACCACGGTGTGCTTTTCTTATTAGACGTAGCCATTTTTGTAGCTCATCCGTTTACAAAATGCTGTTTATAAAAATGCTGCAAGCTTGCTTCTAAATATATATGCGACGCTAGGGATGATCTCGCGCACGATCTTGTGACGATTCTCTCTGACCAATCAGCAGTCGAGAGTGTTGACGTCACTAGTTCAGCCCTGGCCCTGGTCTGATAGAACCACGATTTTATGGGGCCGGAAAAAGAGGGAAAAAGTACCCGCTAGCCGGTACTAGGCTATATGGAAACGCCACCAAAAACTGGCCTGGCCGCTTGAGGACGGTTAAGGACGCTTAAACGGGGCTACCCGCTGCAGTGGAAATGCGCCATAAGACTGATCAATCCTGTATGAGAGTTTTTCAGTCTGTGGCTATAGGTTTGGTTTTATAGTCTCGTGTTTTTACGTTCGTTTTTTCGGTTTTCTCTAAATGTATTTATGCTGCTTTTTATATATTTATTGATGTACAGCACTTTAGTCAACTCTGTTGTTTTTAAAGGTGCCAAGTTAGATTGGATTGGATAGTACAATATCTGATACTTCTCCCCCTCTGCCTACAGGCCACAGGCGTGCGCGAGGATCAGATCTTGGTCACCATCCTCCCAGGTTTACCTACAGCTGCAGAGTTTTTCCTTCTACCCGACAAACAGCTCACTGAGGGCAAAGCGGAGAAGAGCTCTGCTCATTTGGATCAGGTGAGTCAACAACCTGCTCCCTCTGCTCCTGTGTGCAGCAGTCACTCCCGTCTCCAGCACCAGACACTGCATGTCTGGGCGGATATATTTCCCCTCGTTATCCTCATTGAAATTCCACCATGCTAAAGTTTGAATCAAATCGTTGCTTTTTCCTGCCTTTGTGAGTCATGGGTTGATCCCTTTTTTGCAGCAGCAGCTTGTCCAGTAATTGCTCCCTGAAAAAAAGTTCCTCCTTCCTCCAGCAGATGTCAGTATTGTTCCGTTGAAGCCTTTCCAGGTCTTTCGGCAAGTCTAATTTTAGAACACGCCTGAGGAATCTCTGCAATTGACTCATCAATAAGCCTGACAAGTATTAACAAGTTATCACGGTGAATGGCTTTTAAACTCCCTCTAGTCACATCCTGTGGGGGGGGGGGGGGTTGGAGTCTGGGGCCCCAGACAACGAAATTGTCCTGCTTGATCAGTTCAGTGAATCACAAGTGTATCAAGATGGACCAAATTAGCTGGGAGCCCCACGTAATAGATAACGACTGATAATAATGTTGGACCGCCTCTCTGTGGGAAGAATTCCACAGGCATGTGTAGGGAAGGAAACTGGGAAGGAAATCAATTCGATCTTCCTCTTCCCTCCCTCTGCTCACACCTGGTTAAACTCCCGCAAAGATCCTCTCCTCGACACGCTGATGATAAATCCTCATTCAAGGTTGGCATCTTAAAAGTGTAGAGCGCGCATGTATAATTCACTGACCCTGGTATACAGTGGGAAAAAGTAATTAGTCAAAGCATAGTCTAAATTTAAACTACTAAGAAATATAAAGCAGGGGAATGAAGCTCTGCATAAATGAATCATGGGAGGCTGTGGATCAGTGGCTCAGTGGATAGTGTGTTGAACTTCAAATCAGGGGGTTACAAGTTTGAGTCCCACTGCAGTCAGCAGTTCGTTGTGTCCCTGGGCAAGACACTTCACCCCAAATTGCTCCTGTGGGGATTGCCCACAGTACTGAACGTATGTAAGTCGCTTTGGATAAAAGCGTCTAACAAGTGAAATGTAATGTAATCATATCACAATTAATTTGGCAAATGAGGAAGATAAGATAAATCAAGCCGAGGAAAAACTTGGATGTGCAGAGAGAAATGGAACATTTTGTTTAGTTTTGTCAATCCATTTATGCTCATAATGGCAGATTAAATATAGAAAAACTGTTTTGTGGTTTTGGAAAATCTTTCAAAAAGAGCCACATTTCATTTGCGAAAGGATTAAAGCCTCGGGATAGAGATTATATTTGCGTGAGTAAAGGATCTAAGGGGAAAAAGGTTGGGCTTTCTACGGTTTACCTTCGGGTCAGGGTAATCTGCCAGATTTATATCAGAGTTAGATGCTCTCAGTGCAAGAGGTTACTTGCCAGTCTGGAAAGCAGAGATCAAGTGAGGCAGCATCCTATGCATTATGCATCGCCTGAAAAAGGTCCCACAGACAAAGAGTCTTACATAAATAGGAGAGCTCAGATGGGGTTGTTGGTGGAGGCAGTGAGGTTTCTTTGGGTCATGGGCACTTACAAATAATGCAGGTATCACTCCCTTTAAGATGTTCTGAGTTTAAAGTGCATCAAAGTATTTATGTAATGTGCAGTATTTTGCCACTTTAATGTTGTCTTGTAATTTTTCTGTTCTGCTTGATGTATTATTTTTATTTATTTCAAGAACTGCACTTTTTATATAACTAAATAACTACGTTTTATTTGAAAAGGGCCACTCATTGTAACAAACGTGCTTTGGGTGGCATGGTACGGTCCTCAGGCATCATGTTAAAACATAAAATGCTTTATGAGGATTGCAACCAGATTGTAGTCACAAAACAGTCGCAAAAACAATAACCTTTCAAAAATATAAATCTGCATTTCCCATCAGAACTATAAAGCCTTTTAACCACTTATTTTGTTTTGTTTAACTAAATCGGAAAAAAAGAAGATATTAACAATTGGCTGATAGCTGAACATTTATTAGTAAGAAATGCCGTTAAAAAGTCTGAGTTGTGTTTCTGTTTTGCTCTTCACAAACCCTTTAGAAATAATCTGCGTAAACATGATTGTTTGCTAACGTGTTTGACAAATCAATTTTACAAGGTGAAAATTGGTCAATGTTGTGTTGGTTGCTTGTTTTGCTGCTCCCAAGTGGCCAACAAAGCCATGTATGAAGCCTTTATCTGATTCAGCTTGTGATTTTTGCTATATTATTTCACAAGAAATAATCAAAGTCACAAAAAATAACCAATAACACACATTTGTTACCTTATCTTAAGCTACATTTCGTTTCACAAAGTGTTTCACTTATGTTGACCACCTGTTGTTCTTGGCAACTGACTATCAGGCTAGAATATTTGTGAGTGCTTTCAAAGGCAAGTTATATTTGGACTCAATTATGTTTGTCTGGCATACAATTCATTGGATGATTCATTTCAAAGATTGATCAACAACACAAGTCAAAACCATTGATAGATGAGACTGAGGTTTGATGACATTTTCTACTTACAGTTTGTTCTACTGAATAAAGCTAAGTTTTCCAAATCCTGTCCCACTCTGTGTCCCCACAGCTCTCAGAGGTTTTGCTCAGCGCCTTGAATCAAAACCTTGTCCAGTTCACGTTGCGGCCAGGAGTCCAAGTCACCGTGTACGCAGCACATTTATCAGCAGGTAAACCATTTTGATTGTGTCTGTTAAGCCTGGTCTCCTAAAAATAACATTCCCAGACATGAGAACTGCATTGTTAATTTATCTTGGAATATGTAATCAAAAATCATTAACAATCAAAGTCTGCTTAGGTATGACTGTAACAGGACTTTACCCAGGGAGATTGGTTTTCTCGGTGAAACCAAAAGTTGTGTAAAATAACAAACATAGTTTTTTCCTTACGATATATTTTGTTACCATGCATTGTGCTGAAAGTTTGAAGAAAGTCAACTTTACTAACCTCGATTAGCACTCACCCTTAGTTGGAAACCAATCAGATTACAGTGGTATCAAGCGCCGCAAGCTAGCATGGGAGGTTTACAATAGAAACCAAGCTAGCAAGCTAGCTAGCTGTTTTAAACCGCAAGGCTCTGGGCTCTACTTAGTGGTGAGCAAAGAACAACTTGATTATCAAGGGAAGGAAGGCTGTTTAAAACGGAGGAAATTATTTTATTCAAACATTGATGCAGTTTAGCTTTATGGGATGTCATTTTGTAGGACACAGGGTTTTTGTACATGTGCTATGTAGGATGGACAGAACATAAAGCATCCAGACTATGAGGAGCCCTAGATCAAGTGAACAGTCAGTTATATTTTTATTATTTTTCTGCACCCGTCAACTAATAACCCTGTGTCTGATTGGCTCCCACCATGTAGCTACACAGAGACATTCAGAGAGTGAGCATCGTTACAAGTATGTGTGCCTCTTCCTATTGGGGATGCTGCTACTGTCCTAAAGGGGCTTATAAGATAAAGAGTAAGAGATACTACTGTATATTAAAAATGATGAATTTATAGGTGTCAATTTTCTTGTGGACTGCTCATTGCATGATTCAGTTGGGTGGAAATACAGGTTGTGATAGTGTGTTGTGTTGCTAATACTCCACAAATCTTGTGTCCCTGTCTCTGCAGCGCCCCTAGTGGACACCAGCGAGAACCACAGTGGCTCTGCTATGCTAATGCTGCTATCAATAGTGGTTGTGGGCTTAGCTGTATTTGTCATCTACAAATTCAAGAGGTAAAGTGTTCACGGAATGCAGAGGTGGAAGAAGAACTCAGATAATTGTAGTAAAATAAGCGATACCTACCTGTAAAATACTCAGTTATTAGTAAAAGTCCTACGGAAGAGGATTAGGGCAATGGTTGAGAATATTTGAGGGATAACGTAAAGTTATAAAGAATTCTGATATCAAAGTCAAAATTGTGAGAACAATTTCAGAATCCTGAGAAAAAAGTCAGAACTGAGAGAAAAAAACATTAATTTCTGGCAATTGTTGTCTTCCGTAAAGTCCTTAGTTGAAGTTCTACCTAACACAATTCTTAAATTACCAAAACTAAAAGTACTTATCTTGGGGAATAGTCGATTTCAGTGATTGAAATGCCTTTCTTTACTGCTACTAGATATCTTAACCTATAATTAAATGAGTACGGATATTTAGAGGTTAATTATTTATTTGTATTAGCCTATAATCTGAATCTATAAAGTAACTATAGTTGCAACTAAATGTAGGGGAGCACAATATTGACTTTCTAAAACGTAGTGGAAGTAGGATTAATTTAAAACGTTCAAATTGTATATGTACAGTACTTGAGTAAATGCACTTTATAACATTCCATCACTGATGAAATGTCATGTCTATATAGTCATCACGCTTTAGCCTAGGTGATAGAGAGGTGCTGAATGGTGTCATAGCGCTCTGACAGCTCAGTAAACAAAAGCTGCCTGTGAGGCTCCACAGAAGGCTGAAAGCTGTCTGTCAAACATCCTTAGCGGCGAATACAGCGCTTCTCGGAAAACAATCGGCTCACATCTGTGGATATCCTGGTGAGAATCTTTTGTCAGGTCATTCTTCGCAAAACAAATGTCAGTCAGGCTTCAGCCGCAATCGATAGTAAGCCTTTTGAATGCGGGCAGTTGACCTTTCTGAAATGTTAAATAATGTCCAAGGTGCAGTTTCAAGGGAAAATGGCACGAAGGGTCATGGAGATTTACAGTCAGATAAAAAAAAATCAGATATACAAACCTGCAAATTCACATCATCAAACAAGCTGGTGAAGTAAACAGGAATATTGCCTTGTTGCAGATGGTAGCATACTACCGATCCTCGGATTGTGTCCTTTTTTAAATTAAGGGTTCTGTCTGTATACGTTGCCTCACTGTAAATCTTTCCTCAAGGAAGATCCCAGGCCTCAACGTCTATGCGCAGATGCAGAACGAAAAAGAACAAGAAATGATGAGTCCAGCTAATCCTACAGAGACCACGCCAAGCTCACAGCGGGACTTGGTGCATTCTTTGGAGATTCTGGACACAGAGTTTAACTCACGGCCCATAGGTAAACACCCACTCCAGTGTTATCTCTTATTGGTGGTTGGCATTTTCATTTTTTGTTCTCCATTTCTTGCCTTTTACCATTGTGAGTGTTTTTGTTCTTGGGACTCATCCTGTGCTTTTTGTTTTGTGTTTCTCAGAAGTGAAATGATCCGGCCAAGTGGTGAACGACAGCTAAGCAAAAATGAGTATGATGAAAAGTGCAGCTGCTTCGAGCTAAAACTAGAAACGCATTGTCCTCATACTGTCGCATTTTAATAACCTGAGAATACAAATGGGTAACCAATGAAAGAATAATCTAGAATAAAAAGCAGTAGACGTTGCTAAGCAATCTCCCATTGGTGGTCAGCTGGGTTGAGATCAGGTGCGCTGAAGGCCTTACCATATAATTTGTGTAAATGACTGAGCCTCTCCGCTCACACAGGGTTCAAAGAGGGACGGAAAGAGCAGGTTAGTTGATCACAGGCGTTTATTAGCTCCAAACAAAGTATACACGGGTCTCAAACGTTGCCCGTGTGGGAACCTTCACAGGTCCTTTGGCGACCTTCCAGGATCCCGCCTACTGTAAAACAGCCCAGAACCAGGTTACGACATGCTTTTATTCCGGCACTGATTACCTGATTGCGATCAGCTGTCTGGCCTCCGGCCGAGCCACTCCAGCAGCCGGCGCCCTAACCACACCCCGCTGCATACAGCATTCAGTAAACCTTTGTAGAAACAGCTGCTCTTTTGCATACCAATTATATCGTCTATTCAGTTTTTTTCTCTCTCATTTGTCAACCATCTGTGTAATATGATGTATTTTCTCTGATAACATAATTGTGGGGGAAACTTCTGAAGCAATTGGAGTCAGGACTCAAAGAGAGACATGATGGAGAGCTGGAGCTTTGATGGCAAACACTGATGGTTTATTTGGAGCTTCGGCCGGAGAATTCACAAGACATGTCACGGGCCACGAGTTGACCACACGGTTGAGATGCCACAATCAATTCTGAAGAACTCTACCCCAGACCCATGTATTTAGCTAGTTCAGAGGGAATAATCAACATCGTGAATAACAAGATAGAATGATAACACCTCTATCAGCTGACGCCAACAGGCAGGAACAGGGAGACAAAACACTGACAGCACAGCAGCCAAGGCTACAGGTGCCTGTGCTCAGTCAGGACAGAACTGATAAACTGGGTCAAAGTTATGGGCCTTGGGAAATATTTCCCTAACTCGTTGAATTTATGGAATAAGCGTTTATTTTCCATGGGTAGAAAATAAGAGCAATATTTCTGTCGCACATTTTAGGGATTAACATTACTACCTGTTCGATTTTAACAAGACTGCTGTTAACATATTTAATGTTTACTTTTCTGAGAAGTGAGGCGATTTACATTTCAGGAGAAGAAAATACAAGGGCTGTCAAACTAAACATGCGTTAAAAAAAAAATGCAATGCAAACTGATCACATTACCAAGGTTGCCCCTAACTTCTTCTCGTAATTCCAGCGCAGATGTTTACCATGAATTGCATGGCAGAAGACAAGTAAAGGAAGCAGGAAAATGGCACAAGATGTAAATGTTGAAATGTGTCACACTTAAAAGCATCTAATTCAGGGGTTTTCAAAGTGTGGGAAGATGAGCCTCCCCTCAGAGACCATGAGAACAGCCGCGTCCCCCCTCCCAATTATTATTGCTATTATTATTGTTGTTGTTGCTATAATGCAGTGGTATTCAATTGCATTTCAAAGAGGTCCAGTGAGAGAAAATGTAATTTAAATGCTCTGTTTTCACCAGTGTTGTGCTAGTTACTGAAAACCAGTAACTAGTTACCATTACTAGTTACTTCATTTCAAAAGTAACTCAGTTACTTTACTAGTTACTTAAACCCAAAAGTAATGCGTTACTATGAAAAGTAACGTTTTTGTTACTTTAAAAACGGGCTCCCATTAATGCCCTTATAGCCTTCATTTCAGTAGTGTTATTGCATTGGAGAATAATACAATCTGTTGATCAACTTGACATGCATTATATGCAATCTGGATTGCATCGATATTAGCTGGCTTTCCATTTTTGTATATTCTTTCTCCAGGTAGTTGGAAAAAGTTTTCCGTCCCATATGCCGTGTGCCGCCCGGACATGCTATCATGCTAACTAGCTCCCTGAAAGCGGGTGACTCCACTGTAGCAATAGCCTGCATGTGTTCTACTACAACATACCGTGCAATGGCTTTATCGACTTTTCCCTGGCTAGCAGTCCCTTGGTTAAAATCCAGCCGCTGTTGCTTAGGTGGAGGTGGAGTGGCGTCGGCTGAGTCTCTGTGGTCTTAACTACTAGCTTCGTCCCAGCATGTTGTTTTTGCAGATGTTTTAAGAGATTTGAATTACTGGTTTGGGCAGTAGATAGGCTCTTTGACCCGCCAAGACACAACTTACATTTAACTAAAACGTTCTTTTCTTTGTGCTCGACAAAAGTGAAATAGTGAGAATATCTCCAGGTGGAGAAACTAGACTTGAGCTCCGCCGCCGCCATGATAGTCTTGTTAGTAAACAACACAAACACGCCCACAGCCCGTCTCCGCATGTGACACAGGAAGTATCTAAGTACATTTACTCAAGTACTGTACTTAAGTACAGTTATCATCTCTGTTCGCCTGGCTGTTGACTATATAAAAAAAACTAACGGAGTAACGCACCATGTTCTAACGGTAACTGAGTTACTGAATTTAAAAAGTAATGCGTTAGAGTAGGCTACTAGTTACTGGCAAAAATAACGGCGTTACAGTAACGCGTTAGTCCCAACACTGGTTTTCACTGTCTCTCTTTTTTGAGCACGCCATTTGAAGTTACTCCGACTGTTTCTCTCTTCTTGTCTCATATCTGTGTGTGTGTTTGAATCTATCGTGCTGACTCACTGACTGCACCGATTTGATTGGCTGAGTAGCGTCACCTCCTAAAAACATAAAAAAATAACTTTTTAAAACCTTTTTATCTTTATGTTTTAAACATTTTTTAAAACATTTTTAACATTTTCAACATCGTGGATAATTCATTATGCTCCTGGCAACACACTGAACATCAACTTTGCCTCCTTATTACACTCACCCCTACTTAATGCTGGGAACAATGAGTCTGCGTCTTTGATGCGCACAGGCGGATGATGGTATTTTTTCAACAAAAATAAATATATTTAAATAATAATCATTTAATTTAATGTTTAAAGATTCCTCAGACCTCTCCCCCGCGGGACCGTGCATTATCATAACCTCTGCACCGCATCAATCTCCTGCTGAGAGCGCCACATTCAAAATGGCTGAGGTGAAGCTCTAGCGGAGAATACAGCATTGTAAATAACTAGGGGTGTAACGGTTCACAGAAGTCACGGTTCGGTTCGTACCTCGGTTTGGGGGTCACGGTTCGGTACGGGTCCGGTACAACAAGAAAAAGCAACAAAAAAAGTCCCAAATGCATAATTCCAGGTTTGTTGTTATTTATTTTTGAACAGTAGTACAAGTTTCAGTTTAAAAATAAGGAACTCTAACATTTTGAGTAATTAACTGTATTAAACAGTTAAAAACAAACCACAAACAGTACCACACACACTGGCCATAGTATCTATAATGGCTGATGTCAAACAAAAAGGTTTCATCAAGCTGTAAAACTAAAAAGAATGTCTTGAAAATATTACATCATAAATAATAAGTGTTTCAAGAGCGCAAAGTCGTTGAAAAACATATGCCAAAAGCTTCCGTTCTATATCGTATAAGGCTTCGCCCTCTAAGGCTATCGCTATTGGGTAATCCCCCACTGCACGTGTGCAGCACTGACAGACTTATTCCACGCCCACCTATGACGTGGGCCCCACCTCCAGGCTCACTTCCGTATAAATAGGAAGTAGGCCTTACAATCCACTCCTACTTTTCTTCAGCACTCCATTGCAGAAGCATTGACAGGACAAACAAGTTATTTTAAGAGCTACTTACTGAAAAACAAACATTCCTCCTAAAAAGCTTTGTTTTTCTGGTAAGATGGAGACTGGGCAGGAAAGTCAAGGCTGCGTTAGGAATTGCCCGGTGTACGGGTCGGGCTACATTATGAGTTTTGACAGGCACTCACAGTGTGAGTCCTGCCTGGGAATAGAGCATGCAAACTCCCGGGATGTCATGCTCGCATTGTGCCCGTCTCCCGCTGGCCCTCAGACAGCAGAGAGCGGACGCTGCTCTTACTCCCGGGATGTCATGCTCGCATTGTGCCCGTCTCCCGCTGGCCCTCAGACAGCAGAGAGCGGACGCTCTCGCTGCTGCAGAGGTCGAGGACGATTGGCCCGTCCAGGAGGAGTACTCCGGGGACAAAGCCCTTGATTTCCTGGATCCGAATGGCGGGCACGAGTCGGACGACTACGTCCCCTCCATTCAGGGATCACCAGGTGATTCCCCCATTATCTCTCCCCTCCGGACGGAGGAGACAGGTAGGGGACCCGGTGTAGGTCCGGTGTATGATCCCGTGATCCCTATCTCCGCCATCACGGCGTTGCCGTCGATTGGCGGGATTATATCCAAGGCCTGGGGAAATCTCCCCGTTCCCCTAGCTCAGGAGAGCGCATCTCAGGATGATATGTCCGGGGTGTTCTCCCGGGTACACAGGGTAAGGAGTGACCCGGTCTGGCCACGCTTCCCGGCCATAAGGAAGTACCAGGAGGGGGCGGCGGCGGACCCTGGAGAAATGAAGGCTCCAATAGGGACATACGTGCCCCTCACGAGAGTGGTGGGATTCACGGATGTAGGTTTCCCGACCGTGCCTCCTCTAGAGCCGAACCTCACGACGTTCTTTGGGGCTAGGCAGGCCAGCACGGTTACCGGACGGCAACCCATGCTGGCTGCCGCCAAAGATCGGTTTGTCGCCCGACAGACGGACCGAATGCACCAGTGTGCGTTTCAGGCGTCAGCGGCGGCGAACAATATAGCGTTGCTGTCAAACTCCATGGTGGAAATGTCCGAGCAGTCAAAGACTATGTCCTC